TACTAGAGGAGTAGAGTGGGGAGGATGTGTATTGGGGCAGGACTGAACCCCAGTTCTCATCCTCCCCACCAGCCTGGGAACTCTGAGGACAGTAAGAACTGATTGAAGAAATCAAAGTACATCTCTAGGATGTAATGTTAACCATTTGTTAAAACGAATGAGGAAGATGTATCCCTGTTGATTTGGAATATTTCTACAAGCTATATAAAATTTGAAAAAGAGGTCAAAGCAGTGGATATAATACATTCCCACTTGTGTTTAGAAAGAAAAAAAAAAAAAGGCAGCGTAAACACTGGTTGCCTCTGGTTGGGTACTGGGAGTCTGGGGGAGGGAGGAAGAGTTTTCTAATAGGGGCTTTTGTACTGTTTGATCCTTTTCCCATGTGCAGATTATTGTTTTCAGTGAATGTGTGTGAAACAAATCGGCTGGGCTCTCCACTCCCCATCTCATCTGGCTCCTGGCAAATCTCTGTGCCTATGCACCCCAGAACACCCCCAGTATTGCCAGGCCAACCCAAGTCCCTGCTCTCACAGCCCAGCTAGGACCTCACCCTCCCCTTGCCTGTGAGGAATGGCTCTTCCCTGTCTGTCCACCAGGGAGCAGCTCATACCTAGACATGGCTCAGGAAGGTGGAGGAGCTAGGGAGGTAGGCAGGATCCTCCCTGATCTGAGGGGCTGAGCCTTGCTGCAGGCTTTAAGTTCAAGTGGCTCCTCTACCCAGAAGCAGAAGGAGGCACAGTCCTACTCAGGGCCTCCAATGAAGGGGAGAGAATAGAGAGTGGGGTCCTGAAAAGTGGTGATGGAATTGAAGGTTGAGACACCCCAAGTAGAGCAGGCCCAAGGCCACCTTGTCTCACAGTGCTTCCAGGACATCAAGATGACAGGCCTTCCCCACAGCAGGGGCACAGACTAACTTAGCAGACATCAAGGTCCAGAGATTCCACAAGAAGGGGATAAGGACAGAGGCAAACCCAAAACCAAACCCACTGCCATTGAGTTTATTCCGACTCATGTAGACCCTATAAGACAGAGTAGAATTGCCCAATAGGGTTTCCAAGGCTATAGTATTTACGGAAGCAGACTGCCACATCTTTCTTCATGGAGTGGCTGATGTGTTCGAACCGCCAACCTTTCAGTTAGCAGCCAAGTGCTTAACCACTGTACCACTAAGTCTCCTCAAAAACAGAGGCAAAGGATCAGTTAGTATTATTGTTGCTGTTGACTCAGTTTCAACTCATAGTGACTCTGTTTACAACAGAGCGAAACACTGCCTGGTGCTGTGCCGTCCTCACAATTGTTATCTTTGAGCCCACTGTTGCAGCCACTGTGTCATCCCATTAAAGGTCTTCTTGTCTTTTTTTTTTCTGATCTACTACCAACCATGATGTCCTTCTCTAGGACTGGTCCCTCCTGGTAACATGTCCAAAGTCCATGAGATGAAGTCTTGCGATCCTTTCTTCTGAAGAGTATTCTGGCTGTACTTCCTCTAACACAGATTTGTTTGTTTTTCTGGCAGTCCACAGTATATTCAGTATTTTTCACCAACAGCATAATTCAAAAGCATCACTTCTTTGGTCTTCTTTATTCATTGTCCAGCCTTCCCATGCATATATGGCAATTGAAAAGACAATGGCTTGGGTCAGGTGCACCTTAGTCCTCAAAGTGACATCTTTGCTTTTAAGATCTTTTGCAGAAGGTTTGCCCAATACATTGTTTGACTTCTTGACTGCTGCTTCCATGGGCTTTGATTGTGGATCCAAGTAAAATTAAATCCTTGACTTCAATCTTTTCTGTTTATCATGATATTGCTTACTGGTCCAGCTGTGAGGACTTTTGTTTTATGTTGAGGTGTAATCCATACTGAAGGCTGTAGTCTTTTATTAGTAAGTGCTTCAAGTCCTCTTAGCTTTCAGCAAGCAAGATTGTGTCATCTGCATATCACAGGTTAATTCCTCCAATCCTGATGCCATGTTCTTCTTCAGCTAGCTCTACTTCTCGGACAGTTAAGATTACAGCCAACAAAGCCCTGCGGAGTCTACTCTGTCATGCACAGGGTGGCCATGACTCAGGATCTACCGCATACCAGTGAGTTTGGTTTTGGGATTATGGTAACTCTGTTTAACATTTGGAGGAACTAACAGTCTGCTTTCCAAAACTGCATCTTTTTACATTCCCACCAGCAGTGGCTGGGGCTCCAGTTTCTCCATGTCTTCACCAACTGGAATTGTCCCTCAGATTGTAGCCATTTTGGTGGGTGGGAAGTGGTAGCTGGTTGTAGTTTTGACCTGCACTACCCTAACAACGAGTGATAGCAGCTTTCCATGTGCTTACTGGCTATTCACATATGTTCTTTGAAGAAATATCTATTCAGATTCTTTGCCCATTTTAAGATGATTTGTCTTTTTATTATTGAATTATGAGAGTTCTTTATATATTCTAGATACAAATCGTTTATTAGACATACGCCTGATTTGCAAATATTTTCTTCCGGTGTGTAGGTTGTCTTTTCACTTTTTTTTGGGGGGGGGGTTGGTAAAAATATATACAACACATTTTCCAAGTCAACTTTTTTTTACACGTACAATTAAATGACACCTATTACTTTAATCATGTTGTCTTTGACTTTCTTGATGGTGTCCCTTGAAGTATGAAAGGTTTAAATGTTGATAAAGTCCAACTTATCTCTTATATTCTGTCACCTGTGCTTTTGGTGTCCTGTCTAAGAAATCACTGCCTAACTCGAGGTCATGAAGAGTTACTCCGCATTTCCTCTAAGAATTTTACAATTTTAGCATTCACATTTAGATCTACTATCTACTTTGAGTTAAATTTTCTTCATATAGTGTGAGGTAGGGGTCCAAATTCTTTTGCATGTGGATACCCAGTTGTATCAGCACCAACAGTTGAAAAGACTGTTGTCCACTGAACTGTCTTGGCCCCTTTGTTAAAAACTGATGAACAATTAATGTTAGGGTTTACTTCTGGACTCCACAATTCTATTCCATTGATTTGAGTCAGTCACGGAGCAGAGGCTGTAAGAGCTCAGTGACTGGTATTTCTACTCTAGACTTGGTGAGGAGCCAAGGGGTGGAGGCTTCCCAGGGCTGGTGGCATTGTGTGTGCGCGCCACACACGTGTCTCTGGGGTGGTGGCAAGGTTTTGAGGCTAAGGGTGGGATGTTGTTGTTGTTGTGTGCCGTCGAGTCGGCCCCGACTCATAGCGACCCCTCCTTGGGTTTCCGAGGCAGTATCACTACGGAAGTAGGATTGCCCAACCTAGAAACATGAAATGCCCAGGACATTCCTGTCCCTCCCAGAGGCCCAAGAGGAGGAATAAAGAGGTCAGGTCCCGAGTAAGAATGTGTGCGAGTGACACAGCACTGTTAGTGGGGGAGATGGCGCCCTCCCTGCACTGTACCTCAGCACCTCACATTCTTCAGCTGCACTGAGGAAGCCATGCTGAGCCTCCACTTGATACCAAAGCCAAAGGCATGAGGGCTGAAAATAGCCTGGCCACTGAGCCCTGGAGAGAGACAGGAGGGTGGGCAGCCAGCCTAGTTTCCCCACCCCCCAACCCATGGGTGCTATCTGCAAAGCTGCCTTGGCTGTGGGAAGGCGTCTGTGAAACTTGAGATAAGGTGAGAATTTCACAAACTAACTGCCTGGCCAGGGCCACTGCAGCTGTGGCCTTTGATCAGAAAGCAAATTAGGAGAGTTGGAGGAGGGAAGTGGAGGGTGTGGGAGACCAGATGGCTCGAGAGGCCCAAGGCCCAGGGGAGGCCAGTGCCCCTCCCCACTTCTGCACTCACTCCAGGTTGTGGGGGTGGTGCCCTGGGTAGGGCAAGGCAGCACCAACAATTTGCTGACTGGAGGGCTGTGAGCAAGGAGACAGGCAGCTTTCATGGTGGAGTCACACACACTTTATTCAGCACAGGAATGTCTGACAGAAGGGCCTTGAGCAGGGTTCTCTGACCAAGAACCCTGCTGGAAACAGAGCAAAGATCAAGTAAGCCACGGAGATTAGAGGGGACAGGGGCTCCGCACAAGGTCACAGCACACAAAGGTTACCTCAGCACTGAGCACGGGGAAGCTGGGGCAGTGGCCCAAGCTCAGGGTCGGCTCAGCCTTGGAGTGCCAAGTGAGCCGGGCGGGAAGAGCATGGGCTGGGAATTCAGGGAGCTGTCTGTCACTGAGGCCAGCTGGCAGCCAATTAGGGCAGCCGAGGCTGCTGCACCAACACATGATTCAAGGGCTGAAGCTCGGCAGCCCAGTGTGGGGGTGGCAGGGAGGGGTCCCTTGGAGGTGCTCCCCACCGGCCGCTGGGGCAGGGCAGCCCTGCTAGCCACCTGCAGTCAGCTGTCTTCAATGGTGCTGACTTGCCTTATCCAGGAACCACTCCCTTGCTTGGTCTGTGCAGAGGTGGGGCGGGGCACTGATGGGTGGAGCAGGCTGTGGGAAGACCACCCTGATGATGACAGCCCTGCACTCTAAGACACTCTAAGAGACATCATTAGGGGTGTGGAGGACCTCAGGGCGTCCACCAGGAAGAACATCAACCTCAACCTGAGCCCGCCCTCTAGAGGGTGCAACTCTGAGCAGGGCATCTCTGAGAAGGGCCGGTGCCAGGCTGAGGGAGCAGGAGAGCAGCCAATCAGAGGAGGGCAGCACTGTGCTAAGAGCCAGCCAGCACCTGTTTTAGGTCCCTCTCAGGGAGGGATCTGGGAGGGAGGTGAGGGTGTGTGTGAGGTGGGGAGAGGAAGCTGGTGTTGGACATCTTGGAACCTTGGGGGTGACAGGGAGAAGTCGCCCATGACAGCCCAGCAGGGTCCAGCTGAATTCCTGATAAATAAGCACTCTGACCCTAAGGTTGACATGAGTGTGAACGTACAAACTAGGGCACCACTAAGAGACAGAGAAAGGGCTGTTGGGCTGGATGAAGGCTGGGGAGACGTAGCTGGTGCCCAGTGGGTGGCTGAGTGCCAGCCAAAGTTCGGCTTCTCTAGAAAGTCACTACACAGAAACCTCGGGGTGGCACAGGGAGATCCAGGTAGTAATGGTTCGAAGTGACTAAAAGATGGGGAGGGTGTCAGGGATGACACAAATGCCCCGGTGCCCAGGGGTCACAACCAGCAGGCAACAGGAGCACATCTAATCACTGTAGGGGCAGGCAGGGAGGGTGGCGCGGGGCATGCCGGCCCATGAGGGGCTCACTCCTCAAACTTCCCTTCCCGAATGTGCTCGAAGGAGAAGGGCAGGAACTTGAAACCGGTCCCGCTGTAGAATTTATTCTGGAACTCGACCCTGGGGGGAGGGAAGAGGAAAGTCGTCATTCCACAGAAACCTTCTGAGACATCACAGTGGGGCCAGAAAGATGCCCGTCTCATCCCACGTCTCCACCCGGCTTCGCTTTCCCACGTGAGCTTGGGCACCACATCTCTGCCTCCTGGCTCATGAAGCCCACACTCAGCCCACCTCCCATGGCCACAAGCTCATGCTTTTAAAGCCTAGGACCTGGCTCTCAGCACAAGTGCCACATCGGTTTGTCCCCAGGTCCTACTGAGCAGTCTCTTTATGTAAATACACATATGGTGGGAGCCATATGCAAAGAATGTTATTTCTAATAATAATGAAGAATATTCATCGCCTGACTCTGTTTTTTTCCCCTACAATTTCCTAGGAATATACTCTTAATCTACAGCTGACATAGAAACCTCCAAGCTCTCCTCTCTGGCCAGTGGCTCACACAGCAGACCTCTGAGGGAAGTCCTGCAGCCATTGGTCCAGCATGAGGGACCCTGGGAAAACTGGCAAACACCACTGTGCTTCTGTTGTTTCTTTTTTTTTTTGGGTGGGGGGGGAATGGGAAGGGGAGGGGTTGTTGTAAGTGAACAGTGGCGGTTTTCGATTTAGGGGAGGAAATTCCCAGGAAAGGGGGGAAGTTAGGAAGGGAAGTCTTCTCAAAGCAACGGCAAAAATATTCTCCAACCACAAAAACATCTGTGAGAAAAGAATTCTCCTCTTGGGGACTGAAAGGAAAAACAGAACCTTAACTCCCTTCCCAGGCAGTCCAGTATCCCCATTGGTGTCTCCTTGGGGCCTTCGGGTCGCTGAGGGGCAGGGAGAAGCCCTCGCTCCCTAGCAAAGCGAGAGTGAGGCTGCTTGGCTGGGCTTCCCCTGCACTAGCATCCTGGAGGGCTGCCAGCAACCAAACTGCCACCAAATATGGGCAGAAAAATGCATGCTTCAGAGGATAAAAAGGCCAAGGAGAGCTGCCCTGAGGAATAGTTTCCACTTAGGCTGTGTGACCGGGGGGCACCATAACTCCCGAAGAACAGCCAGGGTGGGGCTGTGACAGGCTCACATGTTGGGCCTTGTGCAGGTAAAGGCTTTTAGAAGCTGTCAGCTCCTCAGTCCCCTAGCCCCTCTTCAGCCCCTAGCTGGGGCTTTTACAGTCCAACCCAGAAGGGAGGAATAAAGGGGGTGGGAAGTGGCCTGGGGTCCGTGGATTGGGAGGCCTGTCTACCAGCGGCACCAAGAGGTCCTCAGTCTCCCCTTCAGTCTCAGGGTGCTGGCTGAAGACAATGGGTGACAGAGCTGCCAGCTCCGCCCCCTGGGGAGAAGCCGAATTTCCTGTGTAGGAGCAAGGACAGGCTGCTTTTTCCCAGACCCACATCCCGCAGGGGTTGCATCAAAGTCCCAAAGCCTCTCAGGCCCCGGAAGGTTGCCATTAGTGCCTGGGCAGAGCTCCCCCATGGACAGCAGGGTCCAGGCCACGGAAGTGGGATGGGGCAGGCATGAGGAACCTTTAACTGAATCTATTCAGGGTGTTATTCCTGGCAACAGCAATTCAAAACTGTGACCTGATTCCCACCCCCAGGTCCCAGCACCCCTGAGGAGTCCTTCTATCCATTCCAGCTCCTGAGGCTCTGGGGAGTAGGGTGGGGGATGAGCAAAGTTTTCTGTTGGGTCTGAATGCTTCGTGTTGAGTGGGGCTGTGTTCTCACAGGGCAACAATCAGAACTAGATCTTCATGGTCCTTTTCATTCAACAATACTGATCAGGACACTGGACAAGTCACCTTAGGGTCCCAGCCCATGCCCTAGGGGTAAATCCCAACCATGGTGCATTATGATTCCCCCCACCCCCAACTCAGTGAGGTGTCCAGAACCCTGAGTGTCTGGCTGATAATCACACAAACAGTTCCAGTTCCAACCTGGGCCAATGGAGTGGAAGCCTTTTCAGATGCCCATGGCGCTACCATGCTTCTTTGGTCTCAGGCACACAGCAGGGCCCCCACGGAGCAAGGGAGACACGTGGCTCTGATGAGGGTGTTCTGTCCACAGCACTGTGGGCAATGAGGCCGGGCCCCGACACCCACCAGGTACTGCTTCTCCCGCCAGCTGCTGCTCAAGGTCAGAGACTCGGTGGTTCTCTCTTGGGGTCAGCCTGACTTCCCTTCCCTGCCCAGCCACTCTCCACCTCCCGCACAAAGCTGGAATGCAATTTCCCTGCAGTCCTCCCCACCTCTCCTCCCCCCAGCCAGGGAAACGTGTGCTTCCTGAGAGAGTACAAACATGAAGTTCTCTGTGCCTGGGTGGAGCAGGGCCCGCTGGCCACCAGGGGTTCTGCCTGCTTCAGGGGCACGCCACCTGCTCTGCTTGGGGCCTGCAGCGCACGCTCCAGGAGTCAGCAGTTGGGAAGGGAGCCTCAGGAAGTCAGATGGGCTTCTCTGTCACTCGTCCAGCTCTAGCACTTGGCAAAGACCATTCAGTGACCCAGAAGGACTAACGGGACCACTGAGAGGCCACTCCTAGCACGTAACAGGAAACCCCACTTCCCTGCGTGGGTGAAGGAGGAAGGTGTTCCAGGGCCTCTTCTTTTTCTGGTGGCAGTGTGATGGAGGAGAAGCACTTCTGGAAGACGAGTCTGTGCCCAGCTGCTGCTCTGGCCCTTTCTGCCTCTCTCTGAGCAGGTCAGGGCCTGGACACACATCTGTCAGGTGGCCCAAATGTCAAGGTGGTGATGTCAGCCTGGGATTCCAATTCAGGGCTTCTCACATCTCCTGAGGCAGCCGTCCCCTCCTTTCCCACGCTCCCCTGTTGTTGCACCATTGCACTCCTTACGGCCAGTCGGCCCTAATTCTGTCCCTTTCACATCAACCAATCTGTGAATGTTCCAAGCAACTTACACGGTAGATGGGAGGAAAAGAAAGAGACCTAACTCAGAAGGAAACAGAACTAGCCAATGAGCATTTTAGCCTCTAGTTTTCAAATGTTTCATCTACCTACTTAGGACTCTTAGGCATGAATCTCAGATTAGTGGTTTACATTTGCTATAGAATCAATTTTTTTTTCTTTTCTTTTCTATCTTGTCCTCAGTGAAGAGACTTACCAAAAAACAAAAACAAAAACAACAAACTCACTGCCATTGAGTCAGAGCTGACTCATAGCGACCCCTCCTTGGGTTTCTGAGGAGGTATCACTATGCAAGTAGATTGCCCAACCTACCTTCCAAAGAATGGCTGGTGAGTTTGAACTACCAGCTTTTTGGTTAGCAGTTAAATGCCTTAGGCATAACGCCACCAGAGCTCCTATGAAGAGACTTAGGACATGTATAACAGAGCAGGCCTTGCATCAGAACTAGAAAACCCCAGCTCATGTTACGCCAGGGGTAAAATGAGAGGTAGGAAGGTACCCAGGCTGGGATGCCAGGAAGAACAGCAGCAATGTCTCTGCAGCCATTTTCAGCAGGACAGCTGTTCTCACCCCTCACAAGATGGCCACAGCTCAGAGCTCCTCCTGCAGGCCTGGCTTGACGCACAAGACCCAAGGATCCTTGAAGCATACCCACATATGGCCAGGAGGGGGTGCCTGAGCACCAATTTTATTCATTTGTTTTTTCAGTAGTGGGGTGAAGTCCCCCGCAACGTGCCAGAGGTGACCACCTTCTAATGAGCGCATTCTAAGAGTTTCATAAAGAAGGGTGTGGAATTTTTTCCTCTTTACTTGCTACTTCTACTACTTGGGAGGCGGGGTGGAATCCACTGTGTGGTGAGCCTGTTTCCTGCAAATGCAAGGGACACTCAGCGCTACCAGGTGCCTCCGCAGGAGCTCTCCTCTCTCTGCAGGGCTAGCAGCAGTTTCTCCACAGGGGCTGGCAGCCAGGGCCCTGCCTACAGGGCAGCCCATCCTAAGCAGAGCAGTGTGCGCTACGGGGACACCTGTTTACGATGCAGCAGGGTGCCATGGTGGACACTGGCCGCGTGCATTATTTAATCTTTCATCACAATCACTTTGTCACGTGATGATTATCTTTTTTTTTTTTTTTCAAATGAGAGAAAAGTAAGGTTCAGAGAGGGAAGTGCTTGGCTCAGCTGATTCTGTGCAGGCAGAGCTGGATTCAGACCCAGGTCGGCCCATTCTCTCGCCTGCTCCCCTTGTCATTCATCACTCTCTCGGGCCCATTCGTGAGGATACACGAAGACACCTTCACTGAAGGCCACAGGTGAGCTTGAAGAAGTAGTCCTTCTGGCAAGAAAACATGACATTCCCAACTGCCTGAGCAAGCTCTGGACTTGTACAACAGGGCAAGCGCCAAGCTCGGAGATTAGGCTCAGGTACCCTTCCGTGTGTCCTGACATGCCTTGCTCACTGCCTTGTCTGATAATATTAATCCAGGAGGAGGCAACCCCCTTGGGCTGGAATCAAAACGGGATGGTAACTGTTTCCTCAGCCCAGGGGCTCAGAGAGAGAAGTAAGGAGGAAAGGAAGGAAGCCAAGAGGGCAAGGAAAAGTGAGTCACCATGGGCTGATTACTCAGACGTTCCGTCACTGAGTGGCTTAGGAAGTGTGCTGGGGAGAGAGGACACTGATAAGCTGAGAACAGGGTAGCATGCCAGCAGCCTGAAACACGCACCCCTCCTGACCCTGCACTCTACGGTAAACCAAAGAGCCGAGTGGGGAGGAGGGAGGCAAGCAGGGAGAAAGCCAGGCTGGAGAAAGTAGTGTGGACTGGGGCGGCAGGGCAGATTCTCCTAAAGGAGCTTTTTAGGGAAGAGTATGTCCCAGACGCTCTGGCACTTACATGCCTCACTTCTCCCTGTGTAATTTAGAATAACAAACAGCTGAGTCTGTGAGGTCACTGAGCCAGGAGAATAATCCAAGATAAGGGGAAGGCGGCCTCTGTCCAGTGGGGCAGAGTGTTCTCAGGCTGAGATTCTGGATTTTCTGTCAGGTTCGGGGCACTAATGGAAGGAGACAAAGCCCTCCACTGGCCTTGGGGTCAACAATACCACTAAGATTGTCCCATCCAGGGCTTCCTCAGGCAGGGTCAGGGGCTTACGATCCTGAATTTGCCAGATTGTGTGTGTGTCTCTGGGAAGAGAGCCCAAAGCTTCCAGAGACACTGGACTCTGAGACTCCACCCCCTCCCCAAAAAAGAAGAATCACAAGCCAGGAGAGAATGGAAACCCAAAGAGTGGCTTGTTTGAGGAAAGGATGCCAGATAAAATACAGGCTGCCCAGTTCTGAGTATGTCACCTGCAACATTTGGGACATATTTAAAAAGCATTCATTGTTCACCTGAAATTTAACATTTAACTGGGCATCCTGTACTTGTATTCACTAAATCTGGCAACCCTAGTTTGAGGTCACAGAGCCACCCAGCTCTCCCATCCCTGGGACTGGGCTATCTGTCTCCATGCAGAGTCATTAAGAGCTACCCCAAACCTCTTGCCATCAAGTCAATTCTATCTCATAGTGGCCCTACAGGACAGAGCAGAGCTGCCCCATGGGGTGGCCAACGCTGTGAATCTTTGGGAAGCAGACTGCATCATCTCTCTCCCATGGGGCGTCTTTCTCCCATGGTTGTTCTGCCACGCGTCACCTGCAGGGCTTCCTTCTGGTTAACAAGTATGTCAAATACAACAAACAAATACACACAATGCAAAAGCCACCCTTCTAAAGAAGCTGCTTTAGTGTACCGAGCTACACATCATGGAACTAGGAATTCCTCCACGGCACAAGAGAGCTGCCAGGGGTCCTCACCAAAAAAGGCCCTCCGGCACAAGACAGGACAGCGCAGGCACAGCTGGGGTGCAGAGTGCTCTAGCACTTTCCTGGACTGAGAATCTGTTTTCAGAGCTGCTTGCAGGACTCTGAAGACAGGAGAAAGTCACATGCCAGAGCAAAAAGGACAAACAAGAAACCCCCAAATAAACGAAAACACCCAACCGCAGCAGCTCGTTTAAGCCACAGGAGCACTGACAACGTTCAGGGCAGGGAGAGGTAACTGCCAACACCCACCAGAGACCTGTTCCTGGAGGCTGTGAAAAGATGAGCTCACTTCCAAACTGGGCTGTGCTTTTTTGTGTACACTAACTACTAAGACAGGGCCTTGGGTGCAGTGACGACAAAGCAGGAAACTCCTGCCTGGTTCGACACCCCTCCCCAGTGAAAAGACTGGCTCTTGTAGCAGGAGAAGGCCGCCCCCATGCTGACCTCGCCCCCAACGCTGATCCCCAGTGCTGCTCACCAGTGTAAGCGCAGTGCGTGGAGGAAGGCTGAGAGGCCCTCCATGATCAGGAGGATGGCCACAGTCAGGGTGGCAAAGGCGGTGAAGATGAAGAACAGCGCCAGACCTCCCGCCAAGCTCTTCACGCTCAGGCCCATGTGGATCACCATGGTCCAAAGCACCTCAGACAGCTCTGGGGAGCAAGGAGAAAAGTATCGGTTCAGCTTGACAGGAGGTGGCCATGCGCTCTGTATGTTGTTCTGCCACGCGTCACCTGCAGGGCTTCCTGTGGCCATAGCCAGACCACTATGTGTAGTGACTCCGGCAAAAGTGCTGACCCCGTCGGAGACATCATGTTCCCTGCATTCAGGAGCCTGAAGAATTCCAGAACCTTTATGTAATTCCACTTTACGTAGACCCCCACCTGGGAAAGAGCCCAGAGAAGGGGCAGCCCCCAGTTCTTGGTCTGGGAGGACTATACTCACGTGCATGAGCGAGACTGAGGGCCCAGAGCCGTAGGTAGGAGGCAGTGTTGGAGATGCAGCCCAGGCAGTACTCGATGGTGTGGATGGCCTGGTGGACCATGGTGTCCCCAAAGTCAAACTGTCGTGGGAGGAAACCAGAGAGAAGGTAAGAGGCCAGGAAGGGAATGGGATAGAAACCTTGGCACACTGAGCCTGGGCCTGAGCACTGCTAGCTGCCTAAGCAAGGGCAGGGGACTGCACTTTCTACAGCTGGTGCCTTGCCGTGGAGGGACCAGGAGCAGCCAGTGCTGAGTTCAATACTCACACTCGAATTCAGGGGATTTAGCTAGGCCTCCTCAGAAATGCTGCCTGGCTTAGGCCTCAACCTGGACACTCTCACTCTCCTCAATACCCCATATGTCAGTACACTCCATCTTGATCAGATTGTCTCAGTACATTTGTTTTTCTCCATATGAGGCTGTGAGCTTGAGTGGCATGTCTGCCAAGTCAGAGTACTCAGTAGAGAAAACGGCTGCCTGGACCTGTGACCACTAGGACTTGCTGGTGGACTCTGCTCTAGCTGAGTCCCACCTTATGGGTGTCGGTGAGGAAGTATGCCTGCTCGGAACAGGAGTCAGGAAGGGGCTAATTCCATGTGCCCAGGAGACAGGCACCAGGTTGGAAACTGCCTGGAGAAGATGCTAAACCTCTGTGGTCACGGCCACTTTATTATTTTTATAGCCTTCTGGGAGCAAGATGACCTGTTTTCCTTGTGACTTCTGGAAAGATTAAAAGGGAGCTTTTTGCAAGTTTCATAAATTCCTACATGGATATTTCATTAAGGTCAAACAAAGCATCTCCTGATTTTGTTTTCCTCATCTTCCCTTCATTCCCACTTTTCCTTTCAACACCAAGAATTCTTTCCCGAGTAAAGGGGTGGAGCAGGAGTTCACGTTGAAGACTGCTCCAAGTGCAGTCGGAGGTGAAAACACGCCTGTGTGGAACACAACTAGGTGGCTCAGAAGCACCAGGTGGTTTTCACGGGGTCTCATGATCCTGTGTGGAGCAACCAGCTGCCCACTGAAGAGCAGCAGGCGGTTCCACTCCTGGGGGAGTCCCCTCCCACAGAGCACGGATCAGAGTCCCAGAGGGATGTGCACACAGGGGGGGTGGGCAGCAAGATTATGGGCCTTCAGGCCCTCCTGGGGGCTTGGCTGGCCTTCCCTTCCTCCTGAACCCTCCTCCTCAGTCAGAGCCTCACAGGGCCAAGGGCAGAGTCTCTTTCCTACCACAGTTTCTTCTTCTTTTTTTAATTGTTATTTGGGTAAAAATTTACAGAGCAAATTCACTTTCCATATAGTTCATATACACTGTCTCATGACATTGACTACAATTTACCAGAATGCAACAGCTCCCCTCCTACTTCCTCCCGATAATTATCTCTTCCCTGTGTCCATCCCTCCATGCACTCCTGCCCCCTGAGCTGTCTCCCTGTGCATGAACAGCCCTTCTTTCTCCCATGATTGTTCTCTCCAAGGAGTGTATCTACCTCAGGTAAATGTTCAACGCATATGCCTGTCTTTTGTTTGGCTGGAAGCCACAGGTGTGGGTTCAATTCCAGACCTGAAGGGCAGCTAGCCTACCACAGTTTCTTTCAAGACTCACCTGACTCCCAAAGGATCCCTGAAATACCTTGGGAAGTACATTCGGGCAGGATGTGAGAGGGGTACGCTGCTAGGGCTGTAACAGCCCAGGCCGTAGCAATGCAACGGAGGGGAGAGAGACCAGCTCCAATGCACCATCTCTGGGCCAGCACCTCCTTTTCTCTCACCCCTGACTACCCATCCCAGTGTATTTCTAGCTTTTCTTCTGGAAGGGACTTTTCAGACTTCCTAGTTACACTGAAAACCTCAATCCCAACAGTGCTGTTAAGAGTCTTTCTCATCATGCTGGCTGTCACCCTGAAGCCCCTCTGAAAGGAAGGAGAGGTCCCTGTCTTCACTGCTAAGAGCTCAGTGAAAGCAGTGACTGCTGGGCTGACTCTCCCAGGCTCTTTCAGCAATTTCACGCCACCTCAAGTTTCTCCTATAGAAAAAAAAGAGGATGGAGGATACTTCCCTTCCAGGCACTGCCTTCACTTCTCTTCTCCTTCATTCCCAACCTCATCTTTGTAACTCTGAGCAAGGTGTCTCATCCACACAATGGGAAAACAATGGTACCTACCTCAGAGGTGGGAATTAAATGAGAAACCCAGCCCCGCATGGAGGTCTGCCCAATCTGTGGCAGCTGTGACTCCAACCTTGAGCGTCTGTAGACTTCCTGTCTACACTCTCCCTTGGCTTCCTCACGACCCATCCACTCCTCACCCTCCTGCACCCTCTCTGCTCCATAAACCAGCCCTTCTGAGCAAGGTCATCCTTACGTCATCGTCGTTAACTAGCAGGCCTTCTACAGTCCTGACTGGGCCTTGGCAGCATCTGCCACTATGGCCTCTTCCTTCCTCTTGAGACCCTTGCCTCCCCTTGTTTTTCCTCCCACCTGTCTGGATGCTGCTTCTCAGTGTCTGTCAAGGTTTTTCTTCCTTAAGTGCTGGTGTTCCTGGAGCTCCAGCCTCAGCCCTGGCATCCTTCCTGTGGCGTCACTACTCAGGGCTTCAAGGGCCTGCACTAGGCTCTCAAGTGGACATCTCCAGCTCATTCTGCATTGCCTATTCCTAACTGGCTGTGCTCCGTCTCCTCCTGGATGCACCACCGGCAATGCAAACTCACCGAACTAACCTAGGTAACTGGTCTCCTCTGACCCCACCAAGACCTATGTCTGCTCCATGTCCCACATCTAATACAGGGGCACTGCCACTGCCCTTGGCACCCAAGCCTGGAAGCCAATCTTGAATCTTTACACACTCTCCTCTCTGACAGCCATTAAGGCATTAGAACCTCTAGTTTTTACCTCCTGCACTCAAAAACTCACTGCCTTCAAGTGGAACCCGACTCATAATGACCCCTCCTTGGTTTCCAAGGCTGTATCGCTACGGAAGTAGATTGCTCAACCTTTCTTCCTAGGAGTGGCTGCTGGGTTTGAACCGTCAGCCTTCCGGTTAGCAGTCAAATGTCTTAGGCACTATGCCACCAGAGATCCTTTTATCTCCTTAGTACCTCATATTGGTCCCTTCCTTTGTAACTCCCCCTGCAAATGCCTTACTTCATTTTAGGCTCTCCAAATCTTTCCTCAATCCTATCAGAGTAACTGGCTTCCGTGCCTTCAGACTGTGCCCTTTCCCCAGTCCACTATATCCTGTAACACCACCATTAGGAGTATTTTGGGAATGCATGGGTGACTGTCACTTCCAGCTTCACCACCTACTGATGGCTCCTTGCAGCCCAAACACTCTGCCACTGCTGACCTCTGCCAACCTCAAGTCTCACCTTTCACTCTCCCCCAACTCCTGATTGTGCTCCAGTCAAGCTGAATACTTGCTTATCCCCCAAATGTGATGTGCCTTTATATTAAGGGTACATGCTTGTGGGTACCTCCTCTCCCCTCTCCACAGACTCTGGCTTGACCAGACCAAGCTTAGGCACATCCTACCTCAGGGAGTCCTTTCCTGGTCTCCTCTTCCCCAGCCCACCCCAGGGTTTGTCAGATGCCCTTCTTTGTGTTCTTGCCATGTTCTAGGTACATCTCTAGCACAGCACCTGTCACCAGACTGTCTCCTCAATGTGTCTGGGAGTTCTTGGAAGGTGAAGACTGTGTTTTTCTTCTCTCTCAGTCTCTGTAGCACCAAACAGTGCTTGGAGCATGGAGGGCAGATAAATGAATGGATGGGTGGGTGGGATGAATGGATGGATGGATGGTGGGATGAACAAACGAACGAATGAATGAATACATGTATGGTTGGGATGAATGCACCTGGAGAGAAGAAACTGATGGGAGGGAGAGTGCTGCTGAGTTTTGTTGAGCTGTTACAGCCTTCAAAGATTTCCCAGACAATCAGTTGGCCTGGTCTGCAGTTGGCCTGAGTGTCCCCCATAGAAAGGGACAGCTGCGCCTGCTGGGCTGGAGAATGTTCTGCATGGGGCAAATGGATTTTCACAGCCAGGGCAAAATGGGAAAGTTCTAGAAGAAGTAGGCTGGCTTTTTTTCAAAACCAGTTTTGTTTGAAATCTTTAGACAGTTGCCACAGTTATGTAAATCTGGCTGCAGAGAACTAGACTGTGCCTGATAAAGATAAAATGTTATGACTACTTTGGAAGCCAAAGGAAGCTGAACCCCCATGTGAGCTGGGTGGCCAGAGACTGGGCAGACTGAATTACAGTCCATCTTGTTTGTACAACCACCCCGCCTGGCACATGGCTATAAATGAGGCTGTTGGTATACAACCACCCTGTTCTGAACATGATCATGGCATAGGGTGCTCAACTAGAAAGACATTGAGAAAGCAGCATGGGTGGAGGTGGTGTTACATGGCGGGGACTGGGCTCCTCATTGACGAGAGGACACCCTCCCCACCCCGAGCCCTTCCAAGCAGCTCAGCCAGCAACTGTGCACCAGTGACTGACCCAGAGGGACACAAGGCCACCCCAGCACTAGCAGCAGAGCCTCTCCAGCCCTCAGGAGGATGAAGCCATCTTTTCACAGAGGTTTTCCCATTCCCATTCTACTGCCCCCTTAGACCAGGAGAGCCAGGAGGGGAAGGGTGTGGTTCACAGGTCTAGGTGTTTTAGAGAGAATTTGGGGAAGGATATAAACAGTGCAGCAAGGCTTTTTTTTTTTTTTTTTAAACAAACACAAAACCAAATCTAAAACCTGGGTACACTAAAGGAATTATTCCAAGGCTAGAAGGTCATCTACTCCACCTGTGGCCTGCATATTTAGCCAACTTTTATTCCCCCCGCCCTTCTCTCTGTGTAGCTGGTGTATATATAATATGAGATGGATTTTTTTTTTTTTCTGGGGTGCATCAGAGGCAAAGCCTCCTTTTGAGAGCTGTCTACCTCTCATATCTGGGCCACCTGGACATACAGCTAACCCCAAGCAAGGATCCAAGCATCAAGCTGATGAGGGCAGCAGGAAGAGACTGGCTGCATCTCAGACAGGGAGGAAGGGTGAGCTTTGCCCATAAGCACTCAATGGAGTGGGAGGAGACACAGCTACCCCCAGTGGCAGAACAACCACACCACCGCAGGAGAGGATGGCTGAGGCCAGTGGGACTTAACCCCCGAAGGGAGTCACTTCAAGAATGCCAATGCAGACATTACTTGTAGCTTCTTTCCAAGCCATTCTCAGAGGTAGTAGATCAGCAGAGGCAATGAGACAAAGACAGAGGTGACTGACATGAGATGCAGTTAATGGAGATGAGCTGTTTCAGAGCACAGGTTCACACCCTGGTTACAAGTGGCCAGTGAGATGCAGGATCACAATGTCATGGAGGGCCCCAGGGTGCGACAGGGTCAGCAAAGTGATCACAAGGATGGGAAGAGAAGCCCCAGATAAACATGAAGGCAGAGCCGGCTTTCGTCTTACCACTTCGTCCTCGGTAGGCTTGAAAACATAAATTTACACTTAGTGGGAAGCCACACCACACACAAAGTTACAAGTCATGAGCACAAGGCTATTACCACTTCTTGGGAAGGAGTGTTAATGCTACATGGGGCTGACATGTGGGAGAAAGAACTTGGCATACATGGAAAGCGAAATCAGCAGGAATTGAAAGCATTAAGATCCGTATTTGTAAAAGGCCCCTTGACCCTTGCAATTTCTTTGTTAAAATGCCATGTATATAGTGACAGTGGTCAGATAAACTGAAACATCCAGTCACTAGGGTCTCAACTCCTACTTGCTTTGAAAAGAACGTTAACAAACGGATGAGATTCAATGGTTCAGTGCTACTAGTGGTCAGATAAGGAGAGAGGGTTTTAAAAAACTGAGCTTGGAGGTGGTGTATGAAAGAAAGTCTTCCTGTTTTTTTAAAAAAAGTAGGCAAAAAAAAAAAAAAAAGGCTAAAACAAAATACCTGCAACAATAGTGAATCAATGGGACAGGGTTTCAAAAGTACCAGGGAATATGTACTTAGAACATATAATCAGAACAGTTCCTGAGAGAGCAAGGAATGAAGCGGCTCTCGTAAATGGTCCGTTTATGGCAATAAGAGCTGCGATGCTGGGCCTATGCTGCCTGGGTCCCGGGGAAAGCTTAGCACTGAGATCTGCATGCAGAGTACTGCATGCGACACAGAACTGAAGGAGCAACAGAGCAAGGAAACAAAATTACCGAGGGTTCTAGAGGCAACTAGAGTTTGGAGCAGCGGCCTGCTGGTCCAGAAGGCAGGCTGATTAGTAGTGTTAGAGTTTTTATTTTTCAAGGCGAAGACTGGAGTGAAGGCTCGGAGGCCCGTGACTAGGGCTGGCAGAGGCAGAAGGAGAGGAGGCCCAGCCCCCTGGCTCTTACCTCTTCCGCGTCCTCTGAGTGGGTGGAGAGCTGGTCATGCTGAATAATCTCAGCATCCTCCTCGGTCGGTCCGTTGCCCACCCTGATCCCACCAAAGTTGAGAGTTCCCTACACAGATGAACACAAAGAGCAGAATTTGCCTGGGCTTTAATGTGACACTCTGTGAGGTGGGGAAGGGGATGGTTAGTACATACAGACCTCAGGAAAGCATACATTCTAACAACAGCAACAAAACCCACTGGTCAAAACAGGTAAGTGCAAGCAAATCACTGTTCCCACCCCAACCGTCACCACCCGTAGCCCCAGCCTACGCTTCCCACCTCCTCCAGCTTCAGAGGAAATATGCAGGTCTGCCTGATGCACCAGCCTTGCCTCAGTCAACGCTGAGAATCCCGTCTGAACGAAAAGCTCAATACAAATAGACGCTCACAAGCGCAGCTCTATCTGTAAAGCCTGCACTGGCCCAAGTCTTCTAGAACTAAAGATAAGACTTCCTACAAGGGAGGGGAGCCAAACAACATGGTGTCTGATAAGCTTTCAACAGAAGTCCGAGAGTTCCAGCAACCTGTCCCAGAAATGTAACAGATTCCTCCCCAGGAACAAAGGACTTCATTGGCCAGGGAAGGAAAAAAAGCACAATGTATGTTAGCTTGCAGCTAGAGCAATACTAAAAAGAAAAAGAAAAAAAAGAGGCGGCTTTCTTTCAGTGGTAGATTCTGGAATGTTAGAACAACTCTTAGAGGCATGTGGGCAGATCCTGAGTTGAATGTGTGGTCCTTTTCACTGCACAGGTAGCTTTCAGCAGGGTCTCCATAAGCAGACCTTTAGAGTCAACTTGATTTGGAAAAGCTTGGGTTTACTGAGGCAAAATGACTCTTTGGGCTCAAAAACAGGTGAAATTGGGATTGAATCTGACAGACACCAATTAGAGTCAACCTGCCACAGAGTGGAAGAGCTTAAGACATAGCCCTTAGAACCACTTCAAACAGTTTCCGTCCAGGGAGACAAACAAGGCAAGAGTCTGAGGGCTAGTCTCCTGCCAAACGTCCTTCCCCGCAGCAGTCAATGCACGGGCAGCTGTGGCCCGCTGCCCCGAGGTGCCCACTCCCAGCGTCATCTTCTGGTATCCACCATTTACCAGAGCTTCCCAACTGGCTCAGACCTCAGCACTGGGCAAATTCTCCCTCTTCTTTTATGGTGGTTCTCAAAGGCTGTCAGAGAACCAGGCGCATCAGAATCACCTTGAGAGCTGCATTTTAGAGTCTCAAACACCACCCCTAGAAGCTGTAAACTTAGTAGGCCTGGGGTGTACTAAAAAAAAATATTTGCCCAGGTATAAATCGTATAACTGCTGGGGCAAAGTCTATCAGAATTTAAAACACACGCATTCCTCGGCTCAGCAATCCCACCGCCAGGAACATTATGCAAGGAGGCCTTGGAAATGTGTGGGTTTAGGTTCCAGACCGTCACAATAAAGCAATTACTGCAATAAAGAGAGTCACATGAACTTTCCGGTTTCCCAGTGCAGATAAAAGTTATGTTTACCCTACACTGTAGTCTATTAAAGGAGCTCTGGTGGTGCAGTGGTTAAGGCACTTGGCTGCTAACCAAAAGGTCTGTGGTTCAAACTCACCAGCCACTCCATGGAAGAAAGTGAGGCAGTCTGTTTCCGTAAAGATTTACAGCCTTGGAAACCCAATGGGGGTCACTGTGAGTTGGAATCAACTCGATGGCAGTGAGTTTGTTTTTTTTTTGGTTTGGTAGTCTAATAAGTGTACAATAGCATTATGAAAAAATGTGAAATACTGTGAAAATTATCAAAACATGAGACAGAGACACGAAGTGAGCACATGCTGTTGGAAAAATGGTGCGGACAGACTTGGTTGACGCAGGGTTATCACAAACTATCAATTTGTTAAAAAAAAAAAAAAAAGCAGTATCTGCAAAAGATAATAAAGCGAACTGCAATAACAATATGGTATGCCTGTACCTGTGGATGTTTGTAGAGAGAGGTAGACAAGGATGTTCCCTGCATCACTGTTTGTAACCCCAAAGAACTGGGGACAACGAACACACTCATCAACAAGAGAGTGATTACCCAACTTTGGTATATTCACCAGAATGTTCTATAGAATCTTAGGCAGCCATAAAAAAGAATGAGGCAGCTTTATATATATTACAATGAAAAAAATCTCTGAGACATACTAAGTTATAAAAACTAATAAATCAAGGAGCAGAAGAGCACTACAGTTTAAAATACAATTTCTAATGTTTCATATATGTGTGTACGTTTGTGTACATACACCATATATATATCATATATACACATAAGTACACGTTTATATCAATAGATGAGGGACAGATAGATGCTGGTAAATGCAGGAAATAGTTTGGAGGTTAAAACAAAACACCTGCTAACAATACTCTTGAAGAAAAGAAGGGTGGTGTGGGGCACAGGGAGGCCTTTCTTTTTCAGTTAGTACTGCTGCATTCTCTAAGTAAAGCCATGTTTTAATTTTAGTTTTTAATGTCAGGAGAGGACTGTCTGGGCCAAAAGATTACATGCCATTTTTATTTCTTCTTCTACTTATCTGTTTCAGTATGCTCAGGAAAAAGTGAAAGTTCACCAGGTGATTCTGATGTGGGGTTGGATCTGAGAACCACTGAAGCTCTGGACATCTTTAGATTACACACATATTACACCTGACAACCCTGAAAGGCTACAGACTGGAAGTCCACCTCGGTGGCACTAGTGGCAGGAGGGGACTCCACTGTATCTGGATCTGGGCTATTGGACAGAGGCAGGCAGGGTCAGGCTTCCAGGCTCCTAAAGTAGGACGCCATTTCCAAAGCTCCCTCAACCAGCAGATAATGTGAGGTGTACACAGGTGAAACCTCCCAGCCTGACACTAACAAGTGCCTCTTCTGAACAAAGGGAATGGGAGGGTACAGAAAGGGGGATGATAGACACACAACCAGCAGATCAAAAAAAATGAACAAACTCTGATACATGGCTTACAGACAACCAAGAGGATACTGAACAGAACGAAAGCAGATCAGTGTTCAAACCCTCAGCCCTCTGGGGTGGAGAATCCAGGGCCCTCATTGTGGATGACCATCTTAATTGCCTTCGGGCTGCTCTCCAGAAAGAGATGTGGGCTAAGAAGAACCTGAAAGTGCAGGCTTCCAGCCTACGGCCTTTCACCCTGGAGAGCACCAGAGAACAGGATGCAAATTTAAAGGTACCCACGTCTCTTTAGAAGCACAGTATATAGACATAGGCTAGCAGAAAGAAGAACACGTGGAAAGAACATCAATGAATAGGTACTAAGTGCTTTTAGGGCTTTTTTTTCCCCCTTCTAGGGAAGGAAAGAGTAAGTCCCTACTTGAAAATAATTTTAAGAATCAATAATAAAATATCTTCTGATGATTGCAAGTAGTTTTCCAAACTTAAAATGATTAGAAAGACCCAACAAAGGAGATGTTTATCCATTCAAATACTTCATATTCTTTAAAAGAACATGATAGAACACAGAAGTATGTAAGTAAACGGTGAGATTTTAAAAATTTTATAGATTCATTACTTAGAATATATTGTACTAATTTGGGTATTAGCACAGGTTTTGGTTAAGAGGTTTTTTCTTTAAGGACAAATGTTCAAAAGCTTAACATACAAAGTGTTGTTAATTGAGTCATGAAGTAGTAGTGAAAGAGGGAAGGATCAAGACAGAAGATGCTTTTGATTGTGATCACTAGAAGTGCAGCTCACAGAAGGAGACATGCAGAGCAGCGGAGGTCTCACTGGAACAGCTGAGGACAGGAGGGCTGTCACAAAACAGTTGACATGACTAAGCTGCCACTGGAAAGAAGGTAAGTTATTGCTTAAAGAGGACCAAATGTCCTAGTGTTACTCTCAAGTAGAACTTTCAAGTGCAGAGAAACAAATCCAAGAATCACAGAGATATTCTCACTTCCATGCTGAGAATCATCCAAATACATGGTCAGAAATACAGACATGAAAGTGGATGAGCCCAAGAGCTGTCTGTTGTCTTGGATTAAGATAATGGGACTCAGAAAGGGTACAACAGCCACTTTGTTTTCATGGACATGACTGTACTTACATATCTGAATAGAAACTTAGTAGACCAATGGTAAAGATGGTATCTGAATCTATTAAGAGGTGGAAATCTCTTCTGTCATCGTCTCAATGAGTAACAGGGGCATACTTCCCGAGAGCACACGTGTTCCCCACTGTCCATACAGTTAAAAAGAATTCTGCTGCACTGTTTGCCACCTCTTTAAACATGACGTGATGGTTTGTTGGTTGGGATTTCACTCACTGTTGCAGCCGCTGCTGCCTCTAGTCCCTGTTGGCTCGGGGTTGGGCTGACTGGGGCCTCCACAGGTTGCCCTTCCTGATAGTGAATGGAAGAAAAGAGGAAGGAAGAAAACAAAAGAGGGAGGGAACGAAGGGGGAAGACGAATGGTGGGTACATGGAAGGATGAAGATGGTCAGAAAAGGGAGAAGGAGGGTCTTGTAACTCAGCTGCTCTGCAACAGGGGTTGCAGATCTAACAGCCATTTGAGAGTCATGCAGTTCGGGGTTTTCGGGAAGCATTACTGGATAGCCAGAAACCACGCACAACACTGGACATCTGGTAATTTAACTTTGTGTGTGTGGGGAGAACTCATTGCACACATATATTAAGTAAGCACATGTATGTATGATGCTTTTGAAAAAGGAAACAAAACAAAACAAAACAATGTCCTTTAAACCAAACCTTTTTCCCAGATGTTTTTGTTGGTGAAAGCATCAGAGTCTCATTTTAAAAGAAAATGTTTTAAGTGTCAGCCCTGTGGCTGCCCAGGCAAACCACACGAGTGGGTTCAACCATCTACAGCTGCTACAGTCTAACTCTGTCTGATGCTGCATTTAGACATGCCCAGGCCTGGGTTTTAATGAGTATAGCGTGATGCCCAGAAAAGGTAAAAACTTATGACTTGTTCTCTTTACTCCAGCTACTCAAAGCTGAATCCAGAAGTCTGCCCAGTAAGTAACTGTTTCTCTGACATCAACAACACCAGTGCTCACACTTGGGTATGTAGTGCAAATGCATTTTAAGAGTATACAGACTTGTGTACCTCTGATGGGGAGACTGATTTAATTGCCTTGATCTTTAAACAACCAATCAAACAAACAAAAAGGTCTAATAGCTTTCAGCCACAAAAATATACCCACCAAATGCTTCCTTCGCAAATACTGATGGCGAAGGACCAGTGGTTTAAACAGCAGCATCCAAGGTACACACAGTAGTGCAACCACTACCAGGAAACACTGAATTCCTTTCTGTAAAGAAGGACAAGACATATCACATACAAGTTTATTAACCAAATACATAGCTTGCAACTCCAGCACAAATTTCCCCTAAAATTAGTTATTTCTTAGTATCCTATGAATAACACTCTCCAGTTTCAAAATAATTAGTGGATATTGTGGCAAAGCCCAGGAGCTGACTGACCTATAGGATAGTCTTACTCTGTTGGGATACAAAAATTATTGAGGACCCTTCTGAGCTAAGGAGGAGGGGCTGAGCTTAGATCTGGGATGCATGGGGTTAAAAACCAAATACTACAGAAAAGGTGTTTTTTTTTTCCTTCTCCTAAGCTTTTTCAGGGTCAGGGAAACATGTGGCTTCTTGACCTAATTAAGCACTTAATTAAGACAGCCCACCTCTGCGATGACGCACCTGTCCAGAGTACAGCATTGCATTACCAGAGTCCGGGTAGGAAAAGATGAACATGTTTATGAAATGGATCAAGAGGCTTGGTGCTTTCTCAGAGGTATGAGCATCATAGGCTGTCCACTTATAAAAAATGAGGATAACCAAGTAGCCAAACAAGGAGGTTATGAAGATTATTTCAGGAATAAAGCCAAAGTAGATATTCAGGGGCTTTTTGAAATAGCTATAAAGAGAAAGGGAAAAAAAAAAAAAAAGTTAGACGTGGACAGATGCAGGGCCTCTCCTACACTGAATGAAGTATTCAGTCAACGTTTCTACCTACCCCTCCCCCAGTTCTGTCCTCACCCCTTTCAGCAGCAGCAGCCAGAGGCACTCAAGGCAACAGACACTGCAGGATTCACCACCACAGCCAGATTTTGGGTCCTTGAACTGTCCCTGCACCACCCTCAACCAGCAGGAAGAAGCTGGAAAATCTCACATACAGTTTATAATTTTGTGTGCATTACACATCAAAGAAGAAAAAGAACTGACTTGTTTTCATGAACATTGCTCAAACTTTTTTCAGAGATCTTTACTGCAACTGCAAACTATTAAGAGGCTAATATTAAGCCTCACTGAAGAAAATGGGTTTTTATGAAAGCACTTGTGCAATGTTAAATGTGGTTCTTAATTAGTAATCATTCCCCAAAAATGTTACGATTCCTTAGGTAAAAGCATTATCTACAAAAAGCAGTCCTATGACAGACACAGAGTAACTCACGCATGGTTGAAAAGGCTCAGGGTGACCCCAAACATCATATGGAAAATACCAAGGATAACAGACATCTTCATCTTGAAGGAGTTGAGAAAGGTCAATTTATTGGTAGCAATGTTCCAAATCTATCACAACACAAGAAAACAAAAGGTACTGCAAAGAGGTCTCAAGTAGAAAATATTACTCAGCTATTTAAAAAGTAGCTGACTTTTTTATGATGGAAAATTCCAAACATAAACTTAATTAGGGAGAACAGTATAATGAATTCTCACGCAGCCATCATCCAGCTTCAGTAATTACTATCGACTTATCAACTCATGGCCAATTTTGTTTCATCATATCCCTCCCTGCTTCCCATCTCCATATTATTTTGAAGCAAAATCCAGGTATCATTTTATCTGTAAATATTTCAGCATGGATCTCTAAAATGTAAGGATTCATTTTAAAAACATGACCTCAATACTGTTATCATACCCCAAAGTATCAATGATGATTTTTTAACATCACGAATATAATCAGTATTTAAATTTCCTTAACAGTCTCCAAAAAATTTTTTTAAAATTAATTTATTTGAATGAGATGCAAGTAAGGTCCACACATTGTGAATGCTGCTGATACAGCTCTTAGTCTCTACAGGTTCTCTCTCTTCATTCCTTACAAGACATTTGTTGAAGAAGTTAGGCTGCTCCTTTACGCTGTAGGTTTCCCTGTCGTCTGTGCTCTGCTGATCGCTCTCCAGTGGTGCTACTGTTCATCCATCAATTGCCTTAAGCTCTTGTTACCTAAGGCTGCACATCTGTGATATTTCCCTGACAGTTCTCTCTTCCTCCATTTGGCCACCAGATCAATATTCCTAAATCATGACTCTGAGTCAGACACTTCCCTGCACCAACAGTTTCCCTGAAGTCCAACTGTCATCTCCAGGCTTAAGTATCAACTGTAAGTGTAACGTGTAGTCCAGATCCTCCACAGCCTAGTCAAGTATCTTTTCTTTCTGAAATGGCTTCTCCATGAAGAACTCACCCTAGGTGACCTGACAATTTATGACTGGTTCTCTCCAGCCCTAGTCTTGCCTAAAATTCAGTTCTACAACTCCAATTGCCCAACAGACTTTTATACCTGCGTGTCCCATATCAAAACCAAACCAAACCCACTGCCACAGAGTTGATTCTGACTCACAGCAACCCCCATTGGTTTCTAAAGCTGTAAATCTTTATGGAAGCAGACTGCCCCATCTTCCTTCCGCAGAGTGGCTTGTGGGTTTGAACCACCAAGCTTCTGGTTAGCAGTTCAATGCCTTAGGCACTTAACTCTAGAGTGTGTCCTATAGATATCTCAAACTCAACATCTACCCTGGAGGCATCAAATGAGGTCTGTAAAAAAAAAAAGAGCTTTGTAACTAGGGGACCCTATATAAATATAAGGTAATATTATTATCAAACTCCATTATTATCAAACTCCAAGCTACTTGAAGGTGGAGCCGTGTCTTAAAACTGTTTCCCTCAAAAGGCCCTATAGATGATAGAGATTTAATAAACATTGTTAAATGAACATGTAAAACATTACTAAGACTCTCCAAGACTCAGTTTTCTTATCCATATGATAGAACTGTTTCTGGATTAAATCAAATATGCCAAGGGCTCAGCATAGTGCCTGACCCTGTATAAGCATTTTAGTAATGTTAGCTATTATAATAATGACAATAATTAACTCTGTACCTTCCCATCTATATTTTCTACATACTTCCCATCACCTACAATAATCTAAAAAAAAACTGAAAGGCCAGATGAATTCCCACTTTCTACAAGAAACCTTGATCTTTCCAGCCCATAGTGATCTGGTTTTCCTCTGGATTTTTATGAACCCTACTATCTAATGCTTATTTTTAAAATGTTCCCTTTGTTTTTCTTTTTAAGCACATAATACAAAAGATTTGATCATATTTTATTTGCCTGAGTATTTGAAAAAAAAAATATTCTGAGATAAGTATTTATAAGTATGTTAAGATAAGAATGGAAATCTGAAATTCATAGGAAAAAGTTATTTCTGCTTTGTTAAAACATCTGGCTAAAAATAAAATCCAAACTAAGTAGAAATAAGTTATACACTGGGAAGGAGTCTTGGAAATAACTCTTCTCAGAGTCAATATTATTAGCCGTCTCAGAAATAAGCAGTGCCGGAAGAAATGTTCGTTTCCCCAAGGCACTTGGGTCTCTTATGGCTTTGCTGTATTCTGGACAAATCCACCAACATTCTCCAAAAAGATGTCAACCTAAAACCATATAACTATTTATCTTCAGTTTAATTCTCTCACTTCAGGGTTACAGTTAACAAATTTGGGGTTAGACATGTAGAAAAGAAGTGCTCTTACTGGATCAATGCCAAAAGGGTATGGTCCACCAAAAACTCCAGGGACGGCTGGGTTCAGCTGGAGAATGGGGTTCCCCCGAAGAGTCTCCTCCCTATCATGGTAGGAGTAAAGTCAGATTTCTTTTTTATTAAGAAGAAGAAACTACTGGGGTCCAGGAACTGACCCCAAAAGAAACTACTATAGCTATCTTATCTCTTCAGTAAAAGAGGAGAGTCCGGTAGCTAAGAATGAGAAGCCATCAGAGACGACAAAAAGAACGTTTGATATAATACACCACTGACTAGGATGGTCTGAGAATCTGCTTTTCATTTACCAAAAAATACTCAATGTGGGCAATCTACAGTCTCAGTTCCTTGATACTGCTCATCGAATCACAGAGCACTTCATAAGTCGGAGTGTAAACAAAAGGAGACTCTGAATTCTCCTGAAACAGAGACAGTGTCCACCCCACCCTTCAGAAGTGTCAGTTTACCACTCATCTTAAAAATCAAAGCTGAACATGACAGGATAAACTCTGACGTTTAGCTTCTTTTGCAACTTACGTCCAATTATATATAGTGAACATTGGCCGGACGCTCCAGGATGACCCAAAGATATTGAGAGACTTGGAAAAGCAGTCATTGTAGATGAGGCCAGTGTAGGTGGAGAACACTCCCATCAACAGAATAATGTATCGGCCACTAAACACAGTGCTGAATATCTGGGAACCAGAAGGAAGAAGTCAGTAAGGAACGTACTCATGGCAGCTCATGTGTGACAATATTATTTAGAATATACTAGTCCCTTCCTCTTAAACCACTTTACCCCATCCTGGGTCAAAGGGCTTGAAGTAAAGATCAAAACACAGTACTAACCAGAAATTCATTTTCATAGCACATGGCCTCTTTAATGTGAAGGTAAACATAACTATTCCCTTTTGATAAATTCATGGGTAAAAGACTTTCATAATGAAGGCATAAGCGATTATTAGCCCAGTGGAGTTGTAACAAATATTACCTCATTCTCGTTCTTCTGGGAGAGGATCCGGCTCTCCCTTAACACCATCCACACGGCAAAAAGGGTCATCAAAATGCCATGGCCAAAGTCTCCAAACATCACAGCAAACAGGAAAGGGAAAGTGATGATGGTATATGGAGCTATACAGAAGCCAAAGAAGGAAAAAGACAAAGTACAGAAAACTGTAGCAACTCCCTAAATATCAAGTTGCTCTCTATACTCCAAGAGCAATATACAGTGACTTATTCCCAAGCTTCCAGAGCTGGACTATCAGGGATAACCTTCCATGGTGGGATCTGCACAGCTTACAAAGCACTTGATGGAACTTGGGTTGCTGCTAACATTTTAAACAAAGAACACGAGAAATGAAGCCTTTTGATCAACCACGCAAGACCAAAGGGTAGCATTTTCCCCAAAACAAAGCTTAGAAGGCAGGAAGGGGCACAAAAGAAGGATGAATTGAATGGAAACAGGGAACCCAGGAAGCAGGACGAATGCTGTAACATTATGGGGAGTGCAACCAAAGTCATGAAACAAAACGTGTACAAGTCATTGAATGGAAAATTAATTTACTCTGTAAACTTTCACTCAAACTACAATAAAAAGTCAGAAGAAAGAAAGGCTTTGTCTTCAGCTAGCCCTGGCAACTGCATGGTTTTCTCTGATCCCCTTTTTCTAACCCCAGACCCTGCACCTGGGGCAGGCCAGCTTCCTTCTCTTGTGCAACAACACTTCTCAGCTGGATAAAGGTGCCAGGAAGTGGAAGCCCCGAACTCAGAGCAAGGCAGGTCCTGCAGAAAATGAATCTTGAGACTGTTGATTTAATGACTCAGTCTCTCAGTGGAGCAGAAATTTGCCTTGTGCCTAACATGGACAATAATTGCTATATTTTCTCTGTCCAACCTGGAAGCCAAAATAGAAGGTGTTTAAAAATATCTTGGAAAAGACATTGCTTGCAAATGGTTTGCTAGAGAAAGGGCAAGTGTTTTATAATTGTGAGGGCACAAGGAAAAATTCAATCCAATGAGCTCATTCCCACCTCTTGAAGGAGTGCTACTGGCTATAAACTTCACTCCCTAGGTCAAATCCAGCACCTTTTCACAGTGATTACATTAGTACTGAGGTCTTGATATATCTTTAGGTTTAAGCCAATTGTCCAAAGGCATTCAAAGCGAGGCATTAAAAACAAAACCTCTAGACAGAAAAGATTTGAGCATTTTTACCTGGATTTATCTCTCGGTAGGTTCCAATTCCATAGGCATCTACAATGTTCTGAAAGCCATATGTGAACTTGTTGGTTTTGTTATAGGTTGGAGGAGTCTGGTTTGTCTGCATCCTATTCAAAATGGAGGGTACAGTGGAACCACTGTGTTCCTGGGAAACATTAAGCACATGCAACAAAATTAGGTTATTCTTTTGACTGTAGTTGTGATTACAGAGGTGAACACATTTATCAAAAATCATCAAACGATACACCTAAAACATGTCCATTTTCTTTCATATAAATTATTTCAATAAAATGAACTAAAACATAAAATTGTAGGTTATATTTCCTAGCCTTAGTGGAAACTAGGACTAGGTATAAAATTTACAACAGAAGATTTAAATTCGCAGAAAGAACATCCTTATGGTAAAAAAAAATTAACTCTAGAATGTGTAACCAAAGAAAAAGTGAAATCTCCTTCTCTGGAGACACTGTCATCTCCCTTTCCATAAATATTATCCTTCTCTCCTATTTTTTGGAGAAAACAAAGTATATTCCCTGACTCTCCTTCACCATTTACTCTCAACTTCCTAATCCCTTGTAGTCTGGCTGACTATATTTATTCAAAGTGATTGGCCTACCATCAAAAGGAGCCCTGGTGGTACAGTGGTTAAGCAATTGGCTGCTAACTGAAAGGTTGCCAGTTTGAAACCATCAGCCACTCTGTGGCGTGGAAGAAGGATGTGGCAGTCTGCTTCCATAAAGATTATAGCCTTGGAAACCCTACAGGGCAGTTCTACTCTGTCCTATAGGGTCATTCTGAGTTGGAATTGACTCAACAGCCATGGATGGGTGTTGAGACACAAAGGCCTCCAGACACAAAGGCCTTCTCTCCCAAATGCAGGCCCCTGACATTAAAGATCTTCCTCTTCTTTGGTGAGGGAGCTCTGGTAGTGTAGTGCCTAAGGCGCTTGACTGCTAACCAGAAGGCTGGCGGTTCAAACCCACCAGCCACTCCTCGGAAGGAAGATGGGGCAATCTACTTCCATAGTGATACTGCCTTAGAAACCCAAGGAGGGGTTGTGATGAGTCGGGTTCAACTCGACGGCACATAACAACAACAACAATTTCTTTGGTGAAAGTTTCTACTTCTTGGGAGTTTCCCTCTGTCTCACCAACCATTCCTTTTTTCTTTGCTGGCTCTCCCTTCTCCATGATGCTGCAGATCCCCAAGGGTCTATCTTCAGTTTCCCTGTTTTCTTTCTACAGTTTCACTCTCAGAGATCTCACTCCCTCCTACTCTCTTGACTCTCATTTCCTCTCATTCTGCCCTTCTGAGAACCTGTCCCACTGCCTGCTAGACATACCATGTGGATTTCTGTCCAGTATCCTAATGTGATTGAAACTAAACTTTCCCCATCAACAAGCTTCCCTTGCTTAACTTTTATTTTCATTAGTGGAGCCATTATTTCCCCAGCCACTCAGCTTTGATGCCTCAGAAAAAAAAAAAAAAAAATTAAGTACTTTTCTCCTGCACCTTGCTCTGTATCTGCTGATTCTGCCTTCAGAATGTCTCACAAATCCATTGTTGTTTTCTCCCTTTATCAAATTCTACCCTAAAGATCCTTATGACTTACTATTCATGTCTACAATAACCTCCTAACTTCACCCCATCCCCCACTTACTGACTCTCTTCATTCCCCAATCCAACCCAGATACACCATCAACAGATTATTCTTCTATAGTTCACTTCCGATCATGCCCCTTGACCACATAATAACTTCAAATGCATCTTATCTGTTATTTAAGGAGCTCTGGTGGAACAGTGGGTAAGGCATCTGGCTGCTAACCAGAAGGTTGGCAGTTCAAACCCCCCAGCTGTTCCGTGAGAGGAAGATGAGGCAATCTACTTCCATAAAAATGTACAGCCTTGGAAACCCTAATGAGGTTTGCTATGGGTCAAAATTGATTTGATGGGTTTTTTTTTTTGGTTAGCTGTTATTTAAAAGCCTTTCACAAGTAGGTTCCAATCTACCTGATACAGGTTTCCTTCTCACTCTTTCGGCAACCCATTATAATTCCTGCTTGCCCAACCACTCACTGTTCTAGACTTCTTGTCTTTGTCCATGATGTTTTTTTCTAGTTACTGCTGATCAATATCTTACTCATTTTTCAAAGTCCTGATGAAATGCCACTTTCTTGAAGTCTTTTCTGATCACCCTAGTTGGAAAAGCTAGCACCTTCCCTACACACACACACACACACACACACAACCACGCTTAGTACAGCTTGTCTTGAACTATATACATGTCAGCCTCTCCTAATAGGCTATAAAATACTTGAAGGCACATTTTTGACCTCTCTCTATCTCTTTGGGCCCACAGGTCAGTGCCCTGGACAGAGCAGTCCCAATTAACTACAAAGGGCTCTCTCTGGGTTCTACTACAGAAGTAGTCTAATGGGCTGAGAGAGTGAATCAGGAAATGTATGCTCTGGTCATGAGCTATTGTGAAGAATCATGGGTATATGAACAAGTCATTTAATTCAAGGATAGTACTTTAGGGCTTTTACAAAATTTATTGTCAGGATACGAGGTTAATCTGTTAAAGAACTGTGGATATAAAACTACCATGAAGATGAAACTGATTAATGGCACTGTTGATGGGCACCTTTCTTCCTGGCTGCCTGAAGCCCTGCTAGCTGAGTGGGACTCACCGTGCCCCTTCTGAGTGCAAACTGGATGGAGTCCAGGTCAGTGACAGGGCACCAGACCTCCGCAATGAGACACTTCTGGGTCACATCTATGTTGCACAGGTTCAGAGTGTGGTAGATGGCCTTCATCTTCCGCACCTTGATGAACCAGACCCGGACGTTTTTAGCAGCTGCCTGCAGAACCCTCTGGCGATGATCCTCTGTTTGATTCAGAACCTGTAGGGAGAGAAAGGAACAAGGAAGGGACCTTTCCAGTACCAGTCTCAGGTCTCAGGACATGAGTGGCAAAGCAGCACAGCCACCTGAGAGGGGTTGCTCTGTATCTGGCTTTTATCGTCTTCTGGCTAGAATGGCTTCTTTTTTTTTGCCAAATCATGAAGAGTCAGATTTCTAGTTATTAACACTGACTGTCAGGAGCTCTAGTGGTATACTGCCTAAGGCATCTGACTGCTAACAAGAAGGCTGGTGGTTCAAATCCCCCAGCCACTCCTCAGAAGGAAGATGGGGCAATCTACTTCCGTAGTGATACTGCCTCGGAAACTCAAGGAGGGGTCGCTATGAGTCAGATCGACTTGACGGCAGTGAGTTTGGTTTTGGTTTTAACACTGTCACTTATGCTCAAATTGAAGTCTAACCTGAGTAAATGTTTTGAGGTTTTCTTTCTATATTTAATCTTACCACCAACCCAGAGAACACAGCAAAACAAATGTTAGTCACCAGCTTTGACTTGGATAATTAAAGAGCAGTGAGTTTCCACTGGGAGTCTAGTCTGTAACTCAGACTCAGAGCAAGCATCAAAGGCCCAGGAGCTGACAGCCAATAGCCCCTGAACCGATGCCAGCGTGGGGGGGGCGGTGGGAAACAGGCAGCACTAAGCACCATCATCTGCCTAGGCCATACGGGGGAGATGTGACAGGAGACACTGGGATCTGGAGGACCTAGGGCCCTTAGAGAGGATTTAGACTGCCACCTCCACTGTCATCATGGGAGCAGACAAGGCTTGACCTCTCTTAAGACTTCTTGGAGAAAAAAAGTTTCAATTTTGATCCTTTGGAAACTAGCACAGTATATATTCCTAAGAGCAATCAAGCATGTTATCAAGATGAGGGCTGAGGAAGGGGCATGGACATTTTACATTCCATGTCATGTTTACTGCCAACTATTTAAGGTTTCAATGGCAGGAGGAGAGATAAACCCCCTCATTCCAATTAGAAAGGATTGGCCAAACAACCCACCAATCACAGTTCTGCATGCGAGTCTATCTCTTTGAAGAAGAAAAAGCCTATTATAAGCACACGTCTCCATGTGCAGCACTTGTCACTACAGAACAAAGGAGTGACCAGTCCCTGAAAACTGTCTTGGGCAGAGGAAGGTGATTTCCACAGAAAGGTTGTGGCACACAGCATACAGGTCGAGTGCTTGTGTTACCTGAGAATAAAGGAGCAAAGCTACCCTCTCTCTCGTTGTTGACTACTTCACTATTACTGGTAACACTTCTGAGGAAGGATGCTAAATAAATTCACAAACAATGTTTTATCTGCTTTTCTCTTTCCCCACCCCTCCCCCACCTTAGTTTCCCTTTTTCAAGTTTCTGTTTATAAAGCTGGATTTTTAAAAATCAAATTCTAGTCATTTACCCTAACTACATCACATGCTCTTTAAATATATTGTAAGTCTGGGAGGAGAGACGGTAGCCCTAGAACCCAGCATGTACTAATGAGGCCTAGCACCCACCAGATCTTAAAAAACTCTCTTCTGCTGGTTAAACAGACAATGTGCTTTACAGGAGTTGGCAACAGGTCAAGTGGGTAGGGCATCAACAATGGGGGTAGGGTGGAGAATTGTTTTAAAACATTTATTGTGGTTTGGGTGAAAGTTTACAGAGCAAATTATTTTCCCATTCAACAGTTTATATACATTTTGTTTCATAACATTAGCTACAGTCCTCTCAATGAACACCAATCTTCCAATTTCCTCTCTGGGTTCTCCATTTTCCCATCTTTCCTGCCTTCTGAGCTTTGTTCTGGGGCAAATGCTGCCCTTTTGGATTCCTACGGTTAACTGTCCCAAGAAATGTTCCTCATGGTGTTAATCTTCACCTTACAGGCCTGTCTATTGTTTGACAAAAGGTGATCTCCACGAGTGGGTTCTGTGCAGGTCTAAGGGCCATAGTCTTGGGGGTTCCACTAGTCTCTATCAGACCAGTAAGTCTGGTCTTTTCTACGATTTTGAATTTTGTTCTAGGTTTTTCTCCCACTCTCTTCAGACCTTCTGTTGTGATCCTGATCAGAGCATAGGCAGTGCTAGCTAGGCACCATCTGGTTCTTCTGGTCTCCAGCTCAGAGGGAGAATTTTGAGAGAGGAAGGTGAAATAGCAGTTACACAACTCTGACAATTTTGCTACTGCTAGAGCAACTGCCTTTGGGATGAAGTAAGTTTACTAATGTTTCAAGGGGGCGACTGTACATTCATTCTTTGAACGGGGAACAAATCCCAACCTGCCACCCTTTCCTTCCAGGTGTGCATAAATCATGACTCTGCTCTTAGGACCCCGTGATGACCACTTGCGCATGTATGATGTACACACTGCAACTGGGTAAAAATGCAACACAAGCTCTTTCTGGGTATAAAATCCACAGCAGGGCTCTTTAGCTGGACTATTTAGTAGACCAGAATGATACACACCAAGCTGTTAAGAGTGGCTGCCTCTGGGAGTAGTGTGTGTAAGAGAGCAGAACTTACTTTATATGTGATTCTGTTTTTCTTAACTAAGCATACCTATTATTTTTATTAGAAGCTCTGGTAGCATAGTGCCTAAGGCACTTGACTGCTAACCAGGAGGCTGGCAGTTCAAACCCACCAGCCACTCCTCGGAAGGCAGGTTGGGCCATCTACTTTGATGTGATACCGCCTCGGAAACCCAAGGAGGGGTCGCTATGAGTCAGGTTTGACTTGACAGCACGTAACAACAACAACATTATTTTTATTATAAAACATATTTCAGCCTCAAAATATAGAGGAGAACTGAATATTCTACTCAAGAAAAGTTTCAGATGCACACCATTCCTGTCTCGTGTGAGTACAACTGATGCTATTCTCAGCACTCATCCCCTGACACTTTTGCCCAGCCTCCAGGGAGATGTATTACACATGGACATTTCTTGCTTTGTAGCCTGGGCTGCTAAAGGTGCCTAATAAACTAACTTAGTGTTTCAAGGAAGAAGAATGATCTTCTGTTATTTTATTTCACCAACACAAACTCCCTCCAGCCCTCTGTGTACCATTTGGAGATCATCAATCCTGGTATTAACTCCAGAAGCCATTTCCTTCCTCTCCTGTGGCGTCTCAGGACAGGGATAGAGGGAGGCTCGGAACCTGGAAGGTATAGACATGGCCTGAGGACGACTGATGTTTGTTTCTTACTCATCCAGTTTTAACAATCTTTAGGAGTCATCCTAACTTACTTGAAGGACTAAAGCAAGAAGAGCTTAGACTGACACACTTATCAGGAATTATTTAGACTGAAAAGCTAACTAACAACAATTATTTATATGAAGTAGCCTAAAAACAGACATCTGAACTACCTTCACATTCTCTGGAGCTATTAAATTCTCTTGACATTAAAACAAAACAAAACAAAAAAAGAAAGCAAATTATATATAATAATATATTATTAGAAAAATAGCATGGGGAAATATATTATGGGCAGAATTTCAGGAAATCTTAAGAACACAGAGCCCAGGACACTAGGCTGGGTGTGCAGACCCACCATGACTCATTTATAACCATGAGTCTTCATTACTTCTCACAGGGAAAGGAAACTGCAGTTTTGATAACACAGGTATGTGACTAACGTCTGGTCAGACAACGTCCAACCACATATATGTGCGTGGTCCCATAGGTCCTTTTTTTCCCCAGCAACAGAAAGGATTTAGTGGGGACGCTGGGCATGCAGAGCTGGGCAGCTTCATGGGAGGGTGGGTGGGGGTGGACAGGAGCCTGGCTGCCCCACCTACTCCTGCTAGTTGAGCCTTTGGTGCTGGATGAACTGTGAGCTCTGGCCAAAGGCCTTGCTGTAAGTGCTGCAGGTGAAGGACTTCTTGCCCATGTGGGTCTGCAGGTGTTGGAAGAAGTGGGAGCAGCCACAGAAGGCCTTGCTGCATGTGTACAGCTTCTCACCTATATGCACCTATACGCTGGTGCTGCACCAGGCTGGAGCTCTGGCCGAAGGCCTGGCCGCCCTCACCACACTTGTAGGTCTTCTTGCTGTTGCAGAAGTGCCGGTGCTTTGTAAAGTGTGAGCTGTGGCTGAAGGCCCTGCTGCACTGGCCACACTCATATGGCTTCTGGCCTGTGTGGATGTGGTGACGCTAGAGGAAGCCAGACCCCCTGCAGAAGCACTTGCTGTACTTGTAGCAGACATAGGGCTTCTTGCCCGTGTGGATGCTCTGGTGCTTCAGCAGTAGTGAGCTGTACTTGAAGCTCCTGCTGCAGGTCTCACAGAGGTATGGCTTATTGCCCTGCACATCGCCCTGCCATCCCCAAAGCCCACACCACCCAGGCCAAAGCTGCTGTCCAGCTCAGGCCACCTGTGGCACTGCTGGTTCCAGGGCTCTCCATGGCAGGAGCATCAAACTCCAGGTGTCCTGCTTTTGCATGCAGATTTCAGACCTGGTGGCTGGCCTGTGGGCTACTCCCCACTGGTCTCTGACCCAATGCTGTCCCTACACCTAGGTCTCTGGAGAAGGGACCTCTGTAGGCTCATCAGCACCCCTGCATCCTGGCCCACCCCCACCTCAGGAACGTCTGGCTGGGGAGATGGTGGTGCCTTCTTGGGCTCCAATTAAGAATTAGGCCAGTAGATGTTTCCCTTGATCTCAGCTTCCTGGATGTCTTGGGGATCCAGGTCACATGGCTTTTCCTCTGGCTGTGGCTGGGAGAGTACCTCAGGGCTGGAGAGGTGGTGTCATGTTGATGATTGTGGAAGTGAAGCAGGGCCTTGTGCTGGTGGTAGGTTGCTGTGATAAGGGACTGACAGGGGATGGGGCAGGAAGGGCCTCTTTTTTTTTTAAATTGTGATTTGGGCGAACTTTTACAAATTCACTTTCCATACAGTTCACATACACTTTGTCTCATGACATTGACCACAATTTACCCCAATGCAACAGCTCCCCTCCCATTGCCTCCTGATAGTTACTGCTTTCCTGTGTCCATCCCTCCATGTACTCCTGCCCCCTGAGCAGTCTCCCTGTGCATAAACAGCCCTTCTTTCTCCCATGATTGTTCTCTCCAAGGAGTGTATCTACCTCAGGTAAATGTTCAACTCATATGCCTGTCTTTTGTTTGGCTGGAAGCCACAGGTGTGGGTTCAATTCCAGACCTGAAGGGCAGCTAGGGGCCATAGTTTCAGTGCTTCCACCAGCCTCTATCAGATCAGCAAATCTGGTCACCCCTTTTTTTTTCTTTTTCCAAATGATTTTGAGTTTTGTTCCACATTGTTCTCTCACTCTATCCAGGATCTCCTACATAGGTCCTCCTCCGAGTGGTTGACAGTGGTAGTCAGGCACCATCTAGTTCTTCTGGTCCCACAGTCATACATAGGCTGTGGATTGCATGGTGTATCAGTTGTTAGGACTAATTATTTCCATGAATCTTTGGTTTTCTTTATTCTTCTTTGCTCTGGACGATGCTCAGGTCGTTGCATCTAGATGGCTGCTAGATGCATGCTAGATGGCTCCCATCGTTGCATCTAGATGGCTGCTTGCAAGTTTTTAAGATCCCAGTCGCGACTCACCAAAGTAGGAGGTAGAACAATGTTTGTGTAGTATATTATGGCAATTGAGCTTGACGTCAGGAGGAGACTCTTGATCACCCCTTAGGGCTCCCATCTTCCCTAAGAACTCTTGAAGGTGTGCACACCTGGGACCCTTATCCTCAAGGTCTGAGTGGAGGTATAGGGTCTCCGAGTGGAAGCCCCCTTCAGCTCACAGGGCTGCAGACCCTTGCTCTGAGCTCAGGTTCTAGTCCCTGCTGCTGCAGCAGCTGAAGTGGGAATAGACACTAGAACCAGCAGGTCACTCCTCTGCCCCCTCTTTCCAGCTGGGAGCACTGCGCCCCATGGAGAGGGGCACGGCCACAGAGAGCACAGCTGCCTGGGCTCAGGTTAGTGGCTCCACACAAGCCATGTGACCTCAGATGCTATGTGGTTTGGGTACTGTGAGACCACCACCAAATCTCATGACACCCTACTTCACAGAAGGTATTGTGGATAATAAGCAATGCATATCTGTACTTTAAAAACTGAACCTGGGGCCATTTCTAACTGTTTTAAATACCTCTGACATTATTAAAAGATATATTGTGTCAACATAGACTGAAAAGGACTGTTTTACTATCTCTACGCTAAGCTTTAACGGTTCAGTGGTAAGGCTGGGTCCTCTTGAGCAGAGGTGAGGGGTCACTTACCCTTCACAGATTTTCTTGACTCTGTTTTTCAGTTGATCACCTTGGAAGAAAATGATAAACACAGACTTGTGGACGTAGTCACCCTAGGCCCCAAAAACAAAAAATTAAAGAGATTAGGCACCCAAATACAGATGAAAACTTCTTAAACGACTTTCGTTTTTGGTGATAAATGAATGACGGGAATCTTTCCATGATATGGCAACTCTCTGCTTCTGCCACTACCCCACACCATGTCTTAAGTGTCACTATGAGAACGTATGTCCTATAATCTCTGATTCACAAAACTCTTTTTAAACTCAACCTGGAGCTTGACACAGAAGATATTAGATGTTGCTCCTCTTAGCATGATTTACCAACTCAACTTTAAATCTTATAATGCCTGAATGGAAGAAAGAGAGGAAGAAAGAGAAGGAAGCCACTCCTGTCTGCTCACATGCTTAGGAATTCCCAGATAAAAGGGGCTGAGTAACTACTGGGACATACTGAACACTGATGTAGAATCTCACAGTTTGTTCTAATTTTGACTGTATGGGGCAGGGAGGAAGGCAATCCATTGCAAATACCAAGTTTATACCTGGAGTCTGAGGCAAGGATTGAGAGGAAAAGTCAGAAAAATAAAGTATATGAGGTGTCAGCCAGGATCGCCTCTGGTCCCTGTGTTTTCTGACACACTCACAGAGCACACATTGTTTTGATAGTATAAGACAAATGAACAAAGCTTTTGAAGGAAAACAAGGAGATGAGGAGTGAAGAAAAAGAGACGCATAAGAGCTAAGGCTGGTGCAGTCCTCTTAAATGCCTCAATTCTCTAGAGAGAACCCAGAGAACATTCTTGGTGCAGTTGCTCTGTTGTGGATATCCAGACCCCTTTCCTGATTTGTTGATAAAATAATCTCTCTCTTGCCCAGAGGAAACTTGGCTGAATAATTCTGAGAACAGTTCCACATTAGATGCAATTGCAGATGACAATGTTTTCACAACCCAAGTAAGACTTAAAATTGCTCCTCTGGGCAATCAGACTCACTGTAACTTAAGTCTCATCACATTCCTACTCAGTACAGAGAATCAAAGCCACATAACCAGATCATTTTTAGCTGTATAACTCTTTCAGTCTGAGGAGTCTCACAACTCGATCTCTCTTAAGCAGAACAAAAAATACTAATTTAAGAATCTGCAAGGCTTCCAAATACTAATACAAAGGTGAAGTAAAATTTCTGCAGTACATTTAATGATTTTTGCTTTGTTGTTGTTGTTGTTTTCCCGACTCACAGCGACCCCTCCTTGGCTTTCCAAGGTGATATCACTATGGAAGTAGATTGTCCCACCTTCCTTCTGGTTAACAGTCAAGTGGCTTAGGCACTACACAACCAGAGCTCCCAAACTTTGCTTATAATCCTCCAAATCAGGATTTATCATACTTACTAGGTTTATGTTATAAATTTGGTCCCATTATGTCAAATGCCAAGATGTTAAGTTGTTCCTACTTTCCAAAGCACTTGCGTGAGGAAGAACAACCATCTCATCTTGCACAATACTTATTTCTAAACCAAATTTCTAATTTTCCCAACAAACAAGTAGACAAAAACCTTACCAACTAAAATTTCATCAACTTTTAAAGATCAAAGTTTAGGAAATCTCTCCTTCTCTCTTTTTATCCATGGATGAGTATTACCAAACTTGAAATTAAATGTCCTTAAGTTAATTTTCATAAAAGACTAATTTTCTTTGAGTTCCAAATGAGTAACAAAAAACAAAGTTTAAAATAATTGCCAAAAAAAGTATTTCTAATCAAAAGAACACCCACACAGATAGATAAAGCTTGACAATGTGTATATATACATCAGATGTATACATATGAAGAAAGTTAGTCCTTCAGATTCTCAGATCTGAGCCAGGATAAACCTAAAGGCTCCGCTGTGGGGGGGTCAGATCATGTGGCACCAATGCTGCATTACTGCTCTGGGCTCCCTTTACAAGACCTACTCCCTGGGATGCAGTTTGCTTGTCTTACAGTCACAGGATCCTCCAGGGGGTTCTCGATTTCAGCCTGTCGCAGGAACACATTCCCACGGCACACCCGCCACAGCATGCGCTCAAAAGTAGGGATGCGCTCCCGGTTAATCACACCAGCCACGAAGCTGTGGGGAGAAGAGCCAGACTGGGAACTCTGTTCCATGTCATGGGATTGGCGACTTTAAGACGACAAAGAAAGAAAGTGAAAGGAAAGGCAAAAACTATACACACGAGATTATGCACAGTGATGTCGAAAGGGCTACCACAGTTGTATTCCTAGTTTCACTCCTGGACCCAGTTGGTGGACAGAACGACTTAGGAACTGAATCCAAACTGTGAATCAGCAGTGCCTTTTGAACAGTGAAGGTGAACAGGACCCCACTGGGTAGGGAAGGGCTGAAGTAGGACTTACCCAAGTCTTAAAGGTGTGCCTCTTCCCATCTCACTTGGCTCCAAGAGAGAGGAGGACTCTTCCAACAGGTCTGGATCCGCCATCTGCTGATGATGCAATTCAGCCTGAATTCACAAATCAATTAATATCTAATGAAAATAGTTAGTGGCATGCAGGGAACGAGGAACCAGGAGATAAGTTCAGAAAATAAAGATGAAAAACAAACAAACAAAACACCAAAAGAAGAGACAAGCCCACAAAAAAAGAAGACAAAAATAAGGGAAGAAGATAAGGGAAAGAAACAACAGGTAACAAAAGCATAATTGCCCCAGTAAAGCAGCTGGGGGAAATGGTAGTAGAAATAAAGAATGAAGAAAAAACATTAAATCATAGTGACACGTATAAATCTGTTCCTTGGTGGAAGCCATTTTTCTCTCTCTGTTTTCCTGTACGAGCCATCAAAGTATCAGGAATTACCTCTGCACATGACTAGGAAGCTCAAGTGTTTTTGCCTTTTGGATGAAAACAAGGCACCTCCGCGGATACTCTCAACATTTAATTTCCAGGCAGCTACAAACTAGAATGTGCACTGGGTGGGAATACGAAAGATGGAGACTATTTCCAAGGAAGAAAGCAAGGCACCTTGTGATCAAGTTCTCTGATGTGGAGAAAGATAGAAGGGGCATCTCCAGACATCTAGGCTTTCCATGCCCTTAAAAATTCAGAACAGGAGAGCTTTAGCACAGCCCTTAAAAATTCAGAACAGGAGACCTTTAGCACAGCCACTGTATGTAAACTACTCCAAACCATGCAATTTAAAGAATCTTTCTTTCCAAAAGGATAAGAAGCGCAATAGCCAGGCAGGTCTGAGTCTTCACTGTATCCATGAAGGGAAGGAAAAAGTGAAAACATCTGAATGCCCTATTTGCTGGCTAGGAAAGAAGGAATACTGAAAAGTTCATTAGGTTATACAGGTTAAGAATTCTTGTGAACATAGCTGATGTCAACAATCTAAATCAAGTAAGGTGAAGAAACTAAAAAAATAAAAACCACACCAAAAAAACACCCTCACCACCATCGAGTTGATTCCAACTCATAGTGAACCCCATTGGGTTTCCAAGGCTGTAAATCCTTATGGAAGCAGATTGCCTCATCTTTCTTCTATGGAGCAGCTGGTGGGTTCAAGCCACCCACCTTTTAGTTAGCAGCCAAATGCCTTAACCACTATACCACCTGAGCTCCTTTTTAAGTGTTTTTTTTTTTTTTTTTTTAAAGGCAACAGAAATAAGACAATATAGAGCTCACAGGCCGGCTTAACAGTGAAAACTGGTTTGGTTTGATTTTACATGATTTCCACCATGACAGTTTATACACAGAAATGGAGGAGGAGAGGGACCTTCCCATACATAGGTCTGTATTTCCTAGCCTCTCTCTACTCAACTCACCCTACCACCCTTTACTCTCTTCAGAAAGGAGAAGCTTCCCTTAAAAACAAAGTCTAATTGACCTCTCTATCACCTCAACTACCCAACTTTAACATCCACACACTACTCTTGTTTGACCAAAACTAGACAGAAACAATCCTTTTCAAAAGCAAAACAAAACAGAACAAAACAAATAGGTAATTTTTCTCTATCATTTTCATTCCAAATTCCAAGCTGATTCTACCCGTCTACCCTATTAACAAAACATGCCACATGGAAACGTCATTTGAGGAAGTTACAGGACCATTAAGTGTAATAAAAGACTAAATATAAACCAGATGATACGTCTGAAGACTTGAAAAAAAAAAAAAGAAAGCAACTGTTTTGGGAAATAAGTTATTGAAGCAAGATCAATAAACAAATAAACAAAAAAGGAGGGGTAGGCACTGGGTATACCAGAAAGGCAGAGAAATAATACCCTGAGATTGGAAATATTTATGGTAAGATAATGGGGGGGACACAGGTTACCCTTGCTGCCAAATGGAAGATTAAGGAGTTCTTTTATTTCTATTTGAAATCAAATCAGCTGACTGCAAGCCACAGTCAACTTGTTTTGGGGGTACAGATGACTACATCTCAACTTGTTCCTGCAACATTTCTTGGCAAAATCCAGTGAAACTGATTACTGCTTACAAGATTCTCTCCTGCTTTCCTGCATGATTCACAAGACCTGGCTGAAGAAAGCCCTAAAGATCAGACTCAAGAGAAACACATGTGCCAACTGATAAAATAGGAAATAGTGCTCAGCAACTAGACTGACCTAAAGACTATATCTGAGACTCTCTGGGAATTAACTAAGACACAAAACAAAACAGCAGCTAAATTAAGTAGAAACTTGAAATTGTATTTGAATAACTAACTTCACTACTTCATGTGTAAGAATCCTAAATCTTAGAGAGGAAAGTTAATTTTTTAAAAACAAAATAACTGTGCCCAATGAAAACAAGTATGACTAGAACCCCAAACTGAAGGCCTACAAAGCAACATCTACAACCATGGCATGGAATACAGGCAGTCCCCGGGTTATGAATGAGATCTGTTGCCAACTCTGTCTTTAAGACGAATTTGTAGGTAAGTTGGAACAGATACACATGGCTCTTATTTACCATCAGTTAGTCAAATGTTTGTCTTAATACACAGTATAATTTACCCTTCTATGCACAAAATATTTAAGAAACACTTCCAAATACACTGAAACATCTTAAACGTAATAATAATAATAATAATACAACAAACCCACTGCCATGGAGTCGATTCTGACTCAGAGAGACCCCCATTGGTTTTCCAAGGCAGTAAATCTTTACAGAAGTATACTGCACCATCTTCCTTCCATGGAGTGGCTGAACTGCCAACCTTCTGGTTAGCAGTTAAATGCCTTAGGCACTGCACCACCAGAGCTCCTTAGTAATACATAATAATAATAATAAAGTAATGATAAAAATAACTGTATAGTACTGTACTAAAGAGACTGTATATGTGCATAGGTATACAGTACTATAAAAAAATTTATGAAACAGTTCTTAAAACAGTTTAGATGGGATAAAAAAGAAAAAAAAAAGATCATTATTAGAAGTTAACACTCTCATTCCATTGATGTCTTACATACTAGAAAGGGCATTCATGAAGTAATATTATGGTAACATTAACAACTGGATGACACAGGAGAAGATGGGTACTGTTGAAGATGACAGACCTGGTGTTGGAGAGTCAGCATTTGATTCTGCTGCTGGAGATGGGGGCTTACTACTGGAGTCGATTTCTTGAAGGAGGCGTCATGGGAGGTTTGGTCAGAGCTTTTCTTTTTCTTGTCATAAATGGCCTTGCAGCAGCTGAGGCCATTGGTAACTGTATGGTAAACGCTGGTAAACCTCTCTGTATTAGGATCTTGCTCCTCTAACTTTGCCATCCCTGCTCCAATGAGAAGAAAGACTTCAGCGAACTCTTTCAGCAAAAACTTTTCCGGTTCTGGAGTTTTCAGGTCCTGGTCTTCTTCTTCAAATGCTATCAGCTGCTGTTCTAGTTCTTCATTGGTTACTTCTTCACTATGGGAGTCAAGTAACTTATGACATCATTCTCACTTATGTCTAACTGTAGCTGATTCAACTGCACCTTGCGTTCAGCAATGTCATCAGCTATAAGCCTCTGAAAAGCATGCATGAACTGGGGGCACAATTTGTTCCTTTCGTATTTGGCTGCTGCACTTCACCTCAAAAATTAATAATATTTTCGATGGCATCACAGATAATGCCAATAATTCCTCTACAAATCCTTTGAGCTCATCACCTTATCTTGGGTAGGCATGACTGCTTGTGAGAAGGTCTGCCATAAATAACAGGGCTTAAAGGAGGCTATGACTCCCTGATCCATTGGCTAAAGTAGTGATGTGGTATTGGGGGTGTGAAAATACAAACTTTATATTGGGATGAAGGTCATCGAAAGTGCTGGGATGTCTGGGTGTGTTGTCAAGCACAAGGAGAATCTTGAAAGGAATTTTCTTGGCCAAGCAATAATGTTAAACAGCAGGAATAAAATGGTTCAAGAACCAATCTTCAAAGATGGCAACTGTAACTAACCCAAACCTTTGCCTTCCAGACAATGGGAAGACATACCTTAGTAATATGGACATGTATCCTCAGATTTAGGGAGCAATACCCAAGCAAAGGCTTGAGCTAGAATCCCCCGATGCATTACCCCCATGCAATAGTTAACCTATTCTTCGATGCCTTATGCCCTGGTACATATTTTTCCTCTTTCAAAACCTAACTCCTTTCAGGCATTTTTTCCCAAAATAAGCCTGTCTCATCTACTTTAAATATTCAGTCTGGCAAATAATCACCCTCATCAATAATTTTGTTCATCATTTCAGGAAAATTACTGGCAGCACTTACATTGACACTTGCTGCTTCACCTTGTATCTGCCCTCACTCTGAAACAAATGAACCAATCTCTACTCAACAATTTCTTCATCACAATCACCTTCACTTGCTGCATGTGCAGCTTTTAAATCACTGAAAAAGCATTGAGCCTTTTCTTGCACCCAAGTAAGGCTAACAGGCATATTATGCTGATTCTGATTATCTAAGCAAATTATCAATAGCCTTGGCATAGTACCTAAGGCATTTGACTGCTAACCAGAAGGCTGGCGGTTCAAACCCACCAGTCACTCCTCAGAAGGAAGGTTGGGCAATCAACTTTCATAGAGAGAGTGCCTCAGAAACCCAGGGAGGGGTCGTTATGAGTCAGATTCTACTGTATGGCAGTGAGTTTGGTTTTTTGTTTTTCCATTTCAGTAATTAAACCACTGTGTTGCTTAGTAATAACTGTAGCTTTCACTGGGGCACAGCCTTGCACATACTCTGTTATTCTCACTTTATCCTTTAAAATTGTTCTGATCGTTGGCTGACTGTAGCCTAGTGCTTTTCCAATGACCAGTAGCTTTTCACCTCTTTCTGATTGTTTTATTAGTTCCACTTTATTTTCAACAGTGATAGTTTACCTTTTCTTTGATGTATCACCAGCACTTGTACTGGATTTACGTGTTGAAAGCATGGTTACAAGGGTAAATAAGAGGAATATCTAAGCCAAATGTAAAGTATTAACATTCAGCACAGTGTTAATAGCAATGTGATCCAACAGTGTTCTCCTTCCTCAAGCTGATGAACGCTGAAGCTGCACAGTGTTTTCATGAGCATCACAAAGCAGGGCGTGTGTTTATTACGGACCATTGGATTTAACTCAAATTGTTAATGCAACAGCCTTTACGGACTGTGTAAGTCAGGTGTTCTTAACCCGGGGACTTATCGTATTTAACTCTAATCTGAAAATCTGGGATCTTTAAGTATAGCACCACAAACGTGCTGTGAAATTACCTGCTATGCCCTTTGGTTTGCCTCTTTCTCCCATCAGAATACTGAAAGCCAGGCCTTGAGAAAGGAAGAAAGAGAACTTCCAGACCTCCATTTCTACAGCACTTAAGTGTAAAGCAGCACATCCCCTCGAAGCTACATCAATTAGCCAAAACAAACATTTTCCTTTTCACCTACATTGAGAAAGAAATTACATTTCATCACCTACGGTATTCACCAAGCCCCATCACCAAGCCCCACAGTAGATGACAAATGGGAAAGAAAAAGAAAGAAAGCAGATGGATGGAAAACTCAGACGGAAAGGAAAGCAGGGGTCTGCATGCCATTAACCATTACTTTTCCAGTCTTCTTTACGTTCTCATATGTTATGGTGCTTATGGTAAAAGATCCAGAGAAATCTCTCCAGCTCTTATAGTTCTTCATAAGCAAGAAGACTGAGAAAAGGATAATCATTAACAAGTCATTTTAAATTCTCTGGATAAGAAATGGCTAAGTTCAATTTGTAATCATCTTAAGTCATAAGAATATTCAATATAATGTTTACTCTGCCCCTTCTACACACCTGCCAATCATAACCCCTATACCAATAGATGGAAAGAAACATTTTTTCATTTGGCCATTTTCTGCTGATTCATTATTACGAATCATTGACCGTGCTCACCAAATTATTGAAAAAGAAAGAAAGAAAGAAGAGGGGCTTAAAACTGGGAGTGTTTTAGGCCATTTGCAAACATTACCATTTCAGGCATGGAGGAAAATCTCACAAAAACCCTAACTTTGGGAGATCTGGTTATTTCCTTACCTTTTGCTTTATTGGGAGTGTGCACTTGCCCATGCTGACGCTCTCACCCCACAAGGCCTTGTCTTCTGTTACAGTATCACCACCTGAGGCTGCTGCTCGGGGCAAGGGCTGTTGCAAGGGACTTGGCCAAGCATACAAGCTAGCTAAGGTGGCAAGGCACTGACTGTGCCCTCGGAGACAAAAAGCAGAGTGGTTCCTGCTAGAGGGCTTCCTGCACTGTTTTGAAGGTGCTGGGAACCAAAGTGGGGCTGGGGATGAAAGCAAAGGAAGAACCTCCCATAGCCAGGACCTCCTGCTCAGATGTACTCCCAGAGACTTTTTTTTTTTTTTTTTAAAGCATGTTTTGTATAAATGGGAGGGGAAAACAATTCATCACAGATAGGCCATGCTGGTCACAAAATCTTAAAGCTGCCTCCTCATGATGGGCATTTCATGTTCAGACTTAATCATCACAAAATAAAATTCCTAAATCCATAACTCAGTGATTTTAAAAATCTTATGTCATTTTTACAAGTAGTTCCTCTTATTTTCACCATTTTTTAAATTATAAAATTAATAGTTTAAATAACCATTTCTCTTATTAAAGGAGTCTATTTGTCAATCTTTATTCAGAATTTCCCCCAGCATTAATTAGTTTAGGAAGCCCACTCCAACCCTTAAACTCAGGAAGTTAGGAAAGACATTTCCATATATCTCAGCAATGAATTAATGAATTAAAGGTTATATCAAGTGTTTAAAAAAAAAAAAAAAGGGTGGGGTGGGGATAAGAGAATTAAGCCCCAAATGATGCTTAAAGTGACTAGGCTTTGACCTTGAGGCCAGGGATATGTGGGCAGCAGCCTGGATACATTCAGAAAAATACACATGGGTAAGCAGATGGAATCATCATGTTCTGCGATATTTCCTGATATGACTAAGTGATACATTCCATGAATGCAGGGACCATGTGTTACTCATCTTGTGCCTCACAAAGAGTGGGTGCTCATTAAATGCTCAGTGGATTAATGAAAATAACTACTATTTTTTTAAAAAAAGCAACCAACCAAACTCATTGTCATCGAGTTGATTCAACTCACAGCAACCCCTCCTTAGGTTTCCAAGGCAGTATCTCTAAAGAAGTAGATTGCCCAATCTTCTTTCCAAGAAGTGGCTGGTGGGTTTGAACGGCCAGCCTACTGGTTAGCAGTCAAATGTCTTAGGCACTGGGAAAACTGGAGTTTCAGATTATTTGTTCACTGAAAACTATATGGCTTAAGTGGCCATGTCTGTTGCAAAAGACCTTAAACACTTGCAAAGGGTTAATTATACTGTCCCACACCCTTGAATGCAACAACATTGAGGACTGCGGAAAGAAGTCACCACTAGTCTCGAATTCTCAACTCAGTGAGCAAGCTGAATACTCACACCAAATGTCAGATGATAGACAGCCAGATTTGGATTCTTGCGAGCACTGGGCAATTAGATTCATAGGAGCTTTTCTCCCTTTTCTTTACTTAAAAAGTAGATCTTTTTAATTAGCATGGCTTCTCTGAGTCAAATCTTTAGTTATTGTGGAATGTGTCACATCTTCAGCAGACTTTCTCTAGCCTGGTGGTTTTCAAGGTGGAGTGTGGCTTAGAATCGCCTTGTTAAAAACACCTGGCTGAGCCGCACCCTCAGCTTCTCATTCTGGGGATGGGCCTGAGAATCTGCATTTCTAACAAGCTCCCAGATGAGGTGATGCTGGTGACAGGAGAATGCCTACTCCAGCTTTGAGAACTACCATGAGCCTCTCCTCAAAAGGCAAAAGTTAAAAGTAGAACTGAAAACATAGCAGATGCTAACTAAAACGGAATCTTTGCATTTAAGAGATAAAGAACTTCACGAGAAGGCACACTGAACAATGACAACAGGCTCTGAAATGTCTGATGTAGCTAATCTGGTGGTCATCAGAAAACACATACAAGCTGAAAGCTAGGACTCTTCCCTAGGTTTAATTCAGAGAAAAAAGCCTTCTGAAAGCCTTCCTCTGAAGCCCTTCCATGGAGTTAATTGGCAACTTAGTCACCTCAATTTTTAAACCAGGAATGTCACCTTTTTCCCCTATAAGGTAATGTGGTTGAGTTTATGTGAGAATCCTCGAGTTTCAAAAAGGCATCCTAACAATATTTCCATACAAAACAAAGAAACCACTTGAAAATATGTTTCAAAAGATGCTCAACAGCTAATAAGCAAGCTTAGAGAATAATATTAAAATTTGATGACAGAAAGTTTGGAAATTGAAACTTTGTTGTAATTTCAAGTAACCAGCCTTCTCTTGTTTCTTCAACTTTAACTTTAAGCAACAAATACTTACCTTAATATGTACATTTAAGATTCTCAATTAATTATGTCTACACAACTACTTTAGGGTTCCTTTCCCCATCTTGAGATGAAGAGTTGCAGAAAATGTAAAAATAGACAAAAACCATGGTTGGCTGTGTACTGCATGAAAAATGAAACATAATCTGACATTTCTTCAACTAAAACAGGGCAAAAAATGGTATTGCTTTCAAAGTAGCAAATTAAAATAATTACTGGAATAAAAACATGGCCCACATGTGCAGGTGGAATATCAGCTGCTCAAAAACTAAAAGAAATAAACAGTCTGACCGACCTCATCGAAAAACTGCTGAGTTTTGCGAAGAATAAATTTTAATTCAGTTAGTTCCAGGAAGTTTCTCTTCAGAGCTTCCTGGTTTGTGTTGATTTCCTTCAGTTCATTTTCAATCTTCTCAAAATTGGCCTAGAGAAAAAAAAATCAAATTATTAACACACACTCAGCTTGATATTGTTGCTCTGAAAGACATTACTGAATTCCTACTACAGAACTGTTGCCACCCTCACCACTCAAAGGTATCTTACATCTACACACCAGAGACTATGGTTTTACCAGGGAAATTTTCTTTAGGGAGTTTTTGCTTAAAATATTCTTTCTTTGCCAATAGATTTCTTGTATACACTCAGAAAATTTCTCAGGGGATTTCAAATGGATAAAATATTTACAAAAAAGCCCACTGGCTGTCCATTTAGAGTCTATGATGTTAATAAGATATTAGACAAACTGACATTAATCCAATAAGATTTCACTAAACCAATGAACTTATTTAGTGGCAAACACCACTTTTGGGGATATAGTTTGATACTATAGATATGGAATTCACTTCAATTCTACCTGTAAGAATTTTACAACCAATAGACAAAGCTGACAAGGACAGCCAGAACTACTCTCCATCCACTTAGCAAACTGATTTCTGCATATAACTAGAAGGAAATTTATCTGCCTTTCTCAGAAAAATTGCTTACCTCTAAGTCAATCATATCCCGGGGGAAGGGCACTTCTGGGTTCTCACCAGTGTCCATAATTGGGATGTTCGCTTTCCTTATCTCTTTCTCAACAAACCCTAAAATGAGAAAGGACAGAATCAAATCATGACTGCATGCTGCACACGTCTGGAGCCGCCACTGTTTGAGGAAGAGCTTCATTCCAAGAAAAATTATTTTACGTAAAAGCAGCAGAGCTTGTTCTCACAGTCTCCTTCTCCAACCTCACACTCTCGGAGGCAGAGTGGTCATCCCCCAACTGTCTTCTTTCCCTCTTCTGGTCTTAAAACTACTCATTCCCCGCTTTGACTCTCCAGCCTGTGCAACTTCTCCCCAAAAGTACAGCAGTTCCGGCTACAGATATGGTTGGCAAAGCAGAGCTACAGGAGAAGAATGCAAATCAACAGAATATCTGACACTCAAGTACATATCAAATGGGTTTCATCAAATTTGGAAAAAAAATCAGGTCAGTTTGAAAGCAAAAAACAAAACACAGAATACAGCCTTCTTCTCTGAAACACCCAACAATGTTTCAAGTGACGATTATTAACTTTTTTTGTGGGGGGAGGGGAGCACAGATTCATCTACCAACTAACTGAAAGCTAGCATAGTACAGTGGCAAGAGCACAGGTTTTGGAGCCAGACAGAACCTGGATTCAAATACAGATTCCATCACAATGGCTTATGTTCTTGGGCAAGTCCCTCCACCTCTCTAATCTCTGGTTTCCTTATTTATTAAATGAGGAAAAATCCAGTTTAAAGGAATGTTATAAAGAATATATATGAACACACTAGCCTTCAATAGGCACTTAATAAATACTAGTTTCCTTCCTTATAAATAAAAAGGTGATTGTGTTGACATCTAAAATTGATTGTGGTCCAGGTCTTAATTCTCAGAATTCTGTAACAGAGTTCTGCTATAAACCCTCCCAAATGAAAAAATAATCACAACGTTTCAACTTGCAGCTTTATAATCTCAAACAAGGTTTCCATTAGGCACTACACAGCCCAAACACTACAAAGTCTACGCATATACAAGAAACTCATCCAACCACGAAGATCACAAGATCTTCCTTCCTTTCTTCATCTCCTGTAATATTTTCTTCATTTATTAACGGGACTAGTGTCTCTAACTTAGGACAAATGACTCATCACAGGTTCAACAATGCTTTAGGCTGAGTTCTTTAGGGGAGCAAAACCACTGAAGCATGTATATATATATATATTTCAAGGAAATGGCTCATGCAGTTTTGTTGTTGTTGTTGTTATGTGCCATCGAGTTGGACCTGACTCATAGCGACCCCTCCTTGGGTTTCCAAGGCAGTATAACTACGGAAGTAGATTGCCCCATCTTCCTTCTGAGGAGTGGCTGGTGGGTTTGAACCGCCAACCTTCTGGTTAGCAGGCAAGTGCCTTAGGCACTATGCTACTAAAGCTCCTCATGCAGTTGTGGAGGCTATCAAATCCCAAATTCATGGGTCAGGTGTCAGGCTGGAGGCTTCTCCTGACTCACATGGTTGCAGGGCCTAATGAACTCAAAATCGGCAGGTCAGACAGCAGGCTGCTGGCTCACAGGGCAGTGGAAGCTGGCAAATTCCAAAATCTGCAGGTCAGAAGGCAGGCTGTTGGCCCAAGTACCAGAGTTCAGAGGATGACGAGTTAGATGCAGGATCGAGAGAGAGCAAGCTTTGCCAGAACATCTATATAAATTGGATGCAGGCCACACCCCTAAGGAAACTTCCCTTTTAACTGATTGGATGCTCACATCCGATCACAAAATGAAAGATGATTACCTAATATTAGCCAAACCACTGATAATCATGGCCTAGCTAAGTAGACGCATAACTTTAACTATCATAGTCCACCCCTTGTCAACTTGGTACACCTCTCCTTAAGCCATACCTAATCTCTAAATAAAGACAATTATAGAGTCATACTTGTGCCCAACATGATATAACTTACATGCTCACAACCCAAAACACACTAGCCTCATTTACATCTTGTATTTCATAATAAGTAGTGGAGTAAGGGAGGAAACAACAAACATATTTGCTATATATATGTACACACACACATGCATAACAGAACAAGGAAGAAATAAAAAAAAAAAAACAATTACAGTCCTCATTTCTACAGCCAGTCATATGGTCATAGCTGGTATTTAGAAGTACCTTCTTCTACTACCCATTCTGTATTCCCTTTGCCTTCAGCAAGCACCTCAGCTGGTCATGGTTCTTTGCCTGGCGGGGTGATCCAAACCTTCATTTTTGAAGGGTCTGGGACATTAGTAGTCATGTCAGAATTGAGCTGCTGTAATCATAAAAATCATTAAAATCATTCCAATGACTTTAATCATAGGGCATGTTAGTACTAAGAGATGTCCTAAGGGATCCCCTTTATTCCAGACATATACTTCTTTATCTCTATTATGTAATATCAGTTTGACTGCCCCTTAATAATCAAAATTGCACACCAGCCAAAATGGTAACTCCTTTCTTTGCCTGTTCATCCAGAGACATGAGGAGCCCAAAGTGATCAAGTGGTATTCTTAACTTCCAGTTCAATGGAATCAGTGTTGTGTCCCCTGGTGGGAATATTCCTCCCTTTGGTACTAAGACCTCTAGACCTGCAGAGCATAGCATCCTGGGGACAGGAAGCAAAAATTTTGCAAGTGGGTTACTAAAGGTAACAGTAAGTGGTGCCACTCCCATTTCTACTCCTTGATTCCTGGACCCATAAATCCTGGCTATGAGAGAAACAGCACCATATACTGGACACTAGTTGAGCGCATATACAGCTTCCTGGAGAACAGTGCCCCAACCCTGCAAGGTACTGCCACCTAGCTGGTGCCATAATTGTGTCTTTAAAAGGCCATTCATATGCCCTATCAAGCCATCTGCTTCAGGATGATGGGGAACATGGTAAGACCAGTGAACTCTATGAGCATGGGCCCACTGCCACACTTCATTTGCTGTGAAGTGAGTTCCTTGATCCAAGAAAATATTGTGTGGGATATCACGATGATGGATAAGGCATTCTGTAAGTCCACAGATGGTAGTTTTGGCAGAAGCACCACATGTGGGGAAGGCAAATCCATATCCAGAGTAAGTGTCTATCCCAGTAAGAACAAAATGCTGTCCTTTCCATGATGGAAGTGGCCCATATAATCAACCTGCCTTCAGGTTGCTGGCTGACTGCCACTAGGAATAGTGCCAAATTGAGGATTCAGTACTAATCTCTGCTGCTGGCAGACTGGCACTCAGCAGTGGCTGTAGCCAAATTGGCTTTGGTTAGTGGAAGTCTGTGTTGCTGAGGCTGTGCATAATCTCCATCCATGCCACCATAGTCACTTTGTTCATGAGACCACTAGGCAGTGACAGAAATGGCTTGGGAAGGAGGTTGACTGTTCTCCACAGAATGTGTCATCCTATCCACTTGACTGTTAAAATCCTCCTCAGCCGAGGTCACCCAATGGTAAGCATTCACAAGACATATAAATATCTTCATTTCCGACCAGTTCCAGCAAGATGGCAGACTAGGAAGAGCGACTGCACAGACCCTCTTCAACAAAGAAAAGGGAAACCCCAACTAACACAGACACAGAAGATAATCTTGGACCCCTGAGCCTTGAAGGGAAGGCTATAGAAGTGGACTACACCCAAACCAGCAGAAGAATTTGTGTGAAAATACCAAAAGAGGAGATATAAGGAGCTGTGGTCTGGCAGCGATCCTGAGCGATCCTGATGGTATAGACAGCTTGGAGATTCCCGAGTGCTGGTAGGACTTAAGAATTAACCTAAAAATCAGCCCTGCTAGCCAGCGACTGGAGGAGAGGAAACTCAGGCCCACCCAGAGTAGCAGGCCAGAAGAGCAAGAGAAAGGGGATAAAAGCCAGGAACCCGGACAGAAGAGCAGTCAGCCCCAGGGTTACAGGTGAGCAGAGACAACTCAGGGACGCCCAAAGTAGCAGGCGGGAAGAGCAGGAGAAAGGGGATTAAAAGTCAGGAAGCCAGAGAGAAGAGCAATCAGCCGAAGGGATTAGGTGAGGAGAGGAAACTCAGGCCCGCCCTGAGTAGTAGGCTGGAAGAGCAGGAGAAAGGGGATAAAAGCCAGGCACC